GATAATATTCTTACCTATGTTTGTTTGAGAATTTTTAGAATCCATTTCGATGGTAAATGCATTTAGCACTGCTTGAATAACTTGCTTGATGATGCTCGATGATGAGAAAGCAGTTCGTGATTTAGAGAAAAAATGTTATTTCAGCTGGTACATGTGGGTGCGCTGGAGGTGCAAAATGTTAAGAGGGCGATCAATCGTTACGGCACATTGCCAAAAGGCGCTAGAATCGGAGCATATTTGGAATCTCTGCGACAAAGTGGCATGCCATCGAATCAGGAGAGTGTTTCGACCGCTACGTCTTCCTTGTCCACCGCGATCGTAGAACAGCAGCAGCAGGACATCGTCGTAGCGAGCGCCATGATTGATGCGGTCCCGCAACATCGTTCGCTCTCGCCACGCCAGAATAATCTGCGCGGTCAGTCGCAAATGACGCGCAGCAATTCCTCGAGCGGAGTAGTAAACACTTATCAACCGCCGAATTCACCGCGCAGCCGTGCTGTTGGTATCCGGAAGACCAATGCGGAAGGAATCGGTCTACGGACCTTCCGCGCGCCAAACAGTTCCAGTTTTCGTACCGCCAGTCCGTCGAGATCGGTCCAGCCGACTCTAGCTGATCTGGAATTCCCGCCGCCACCATTGGATTTGCCGCCACCTCCGGACGAAATTTTTGGCGATCAGTCCGATTTACCGCCACCTGCAACTACGGCGTCGCCGTGTACCGAGAGTTCCTCTTCTCATCCAAAAATCGCGAGTTCGCCAGTCAGCCTCAGAAAGTTGAAAGCGGAATGGCGGAGTAAAGATGAAATGATAAACGATCACGACCAAGATGATAGGAATAACGATGTGAGAAACGCCGAGCCGTCAGTAAAGGAGGCTAGTTCGCGATTCGGTGTGAATCTACGACGCCGAGAGACTACTTCCTCCACTCCTGGCGACACGCATTGCAGTAGTAAACCCGCAGACGAGAAGAAATTGATTTATAAACCGAAGGAGACAACGAGCAGCGGTGCGAAAGCGGAATCGGTAGACGTAGTCGGAATCGCGGCTCCCGAGGAAGCGCCACCTCCACCTCCGCCGCCACCACCGCCAATCGGCAGCGCGGTAAGCACTACTGGTACATCTTTAGACACCTTCGAATCCAAGCCAGGCATGAAAGAGATGCTGGAACTTAAGCTGATCAACGAGATTAAGCAGAGCGCGGATATGAAACACGGTAGTAATAACAGTTCTGCGAAGAAAATCGGCGGCAGCGTAAGTGGTAGCGGGCTTTCGTCGACAGCGCCACTCGATCCGGCGTCGCAGCTTCTGTCTGAGTTGTGTGCTAGTTTCAGCATGGATTCCGCCAACAAGCAACACATTGTTCCGAGCGAATACGCGATTGCAACATTAAAGAATAATGACATATCCGGAGGCGTTCAGGAGCACATTCATACGCAGAGTAGTATATTTCCCGAGAAAAGCACTAACAAAGAGATCCCGATGATGACTTCACCAATCACTGAGGGCCATGTATTAAGCGCGACTAGCGTAGGCTTTAAATTGAAGAGAGTAGACAAGAGGAGTAATCCCCAGAAGGAAGAAAATCCGGATGGTCAGATAATCGACTTTAAGGCGCGATTACGAAAGGTAGACAACGTTGACAAGGAAAGAGCCACGGCGGAGGAGAAGAATAAATCATCGCGTTTCGATGACAACGCACAAGGGAGCAATGTCGTGGACTCGGCAGATTCGTCGTCTGGTGTGGATGATGCGAACGACGACAAGCGCCGCAGCACCGGCAGTATTAGTAGCCTAAAGAAATTGTGGGAGAATAAGGAAGCTTCTTGTGATAACCAACCACTTAGTCCTAAATTAAATGTGAGAGGGACGAGTAGTAAGCAGGATGATATTGCGAGCGAAGATTCGCCAGAAGATCATAGCAATGCCTCGACTAGAAGCTCAACCAGTAAGGGCGACTCGCGAGTATGGCCTCCAACGTCATCATCCTCGGAGATCGAGAAGCCTATTGTGCCGGCCAAACCATTGAAGCCACTCGGACCATCCAGTAAACATTTTGGTTCCTCGATATATGCCACACCAAACTGCAACAAATCATTATCCCAGAGTATCGATGATGACAGTGGCGGTAAGCAGACTAGTGGAGGTGAATCGAAAGGGGCAAAGCACAGCGTGATAGAAATCTCGAACGTCATAGAGAACAGTATTCTGAATTTAAAAGGCAGCCCCACTATTGTCATGGCCAGTTGGCTGCAGCTATCCGATAAAGTTGGTTTGTTGCACGGCATGTGCGTCAATCTGACGGACACGCCGATTGCACCACACGCGAGATTCCAGTTCCGCGACCTACTCACTCGACTCGAATTGCAGGCGAGGCAATTACGGGCCGCCGGCACGCGCAACATCACTGAGAACACGAGACTCTTGTGCGACGTGCAAAACACGATAAAAGACGTGATAAACACATTGCAGAGGTAAAGCTGCACACGAATCGCCGGTGGAAAAAATCAAAACGAGCATCTCCTCCTGCGAACATTTCTTTCCGCCACTTCCCCCCTTCCTGTCCTGATGTTTCCCTGATAGGTCGCAGAATTATCATTAACCTCTTCTACCTTAATCCTCTTCTATCTTTCCTCTTTCTCTTTCTATTATTATTTTATCGGATGCGTGGGCGTATAAAGTATACATAAATTTATATAAATATATATATATATATATCTAAGTCACACATACATTAAGGTTTTATCAAAGATTGAGATCCTTTTTTGGAAACGTAGCAATTATTTTCCGAGCGAGTATAAGAATGAACTAGAGTGAATAAGTTAATTAATAATACGATTTCGCGATCGTTAGGGGAGGGGAGGGGGGAAGGGGATTTAATCCAAAGTTGCACGAGTCGAACGATCGCCGGTATATTTCCCGATACGAGGCATGCATATACAATTTCGGACGGAATCTTGCGCGCAACAAACTCTAAGTTCGTATACATTTATAACTCCGCCTGTGTATACCATTCGCATTTTTTGGAAGATCTTTGGAAAATACACTATGATCGTGTATAACTCACAGGCCTGACAAAAAATATGGCCTTGAAGAATGAAAAAAAAAAAGAAAAAAAAAAGGAAATATACATCTTTGCATGATTGAATTTTTATGTCAAGACGTATGACGGTTTTCATATAAACGGATAAGTAAATGTGATGATTATATAATTACTGTATGAAATAACCGGTCATACGCAAATTCTCATTGTCAGTAGAATATATAATTGGCGTATTGGCATCGGAGCAGGAGAGCGTAACGCGAATGCAAAAGTCGTCGCACGCTAATTCTATATCCTCGAGTCGCTTACGTATCGCGTAAATCGTTTCGTTTTACATGTAATTTTATACACACGTGCTTATAATTAGTAATATACATATACATATATATATATATATTATTATTACGCGAGATTTTTAGATTAGACAATATATATATATATAAATACGGAACACCTAAGTCGTAAGTCATTTCATGTGTATTCTGGGACAATATATAAACGATTTTGTATTTGTATAGAGTAAGTTGGATATATAACAGCTATACACATGCGATAATCGTATGCCTACGTAAATCATACTCAAATACAACAAAAAATCGAATGTAATTAATCAAACAGCTCTTGAGTGTCGTGTGCTTCGTTTTTATCCATTCATGGTATGGTTCTTCCAAAAAGCACATAGTAAAAGGAAATATTCGCCTGAAGACATCTATATCATGTGAGCAATTTATTCCTAATGTAATTTACGAAAAGTGCATTTTAATTGATAAATTTATGCATCAAAATGAACGTTAACAAAGTAACGAAATAATGAACAAATAATATGTGATATATATGATCTGTCACTCTGTTTGTATTTTCTGCACACAATGAAGGTTTTTAACTTCTATGTGTTAATATGTAGACTATATATAATTATATATACATATATATACACTTTAAGTATTATACATTTATTTGTACTTTTTTGTATTATTTATATTTCTCTCATTTTCATTTATATTTTTAAATATTTAAAAAAAAGGAAATTATATATGTATATTATATTTAAATTTGTTTATAATGACATGTTTTATAAAGTTTCACGCAGATAGTTAGAATTTAGCTAGAGTTAGGATTTTTGCAAAGGATGAATAAGCCAAGTTTTATAGTTTATAATACATTGACTGTAGAGCTATTGCTCCGATAATGCTCTGAGAACTGATTTTATGGAGGTCTTCAGGTTTATACTTCATTTCACGTAAGTTTGTGCTTGACACTAAAGAAAAACGCAATAGAAACAAAAAATAAGTCACCGACAACTTATTTCTTATGTGACACTGCCTATATCGTACGCGTGCGCGAGGTATTACGCGGCTAGTAGTATATATATTGAATTCAAACTAGTAATCTTTTAATCATGTAAACGTATTCCTTCTTTTGGTTTCAAAGTTTCTTTATATATCTTTTGTACCTGTGATAAACTAATCAAGCCCTCTCTTCTTTTCTTTTCTTTATCAAAAGAATCATGCTCAACAGGAACGATAATAGTTATATAAATGAAATGAATTTTAGTCAGCAGATGTTTATTCGAATAAAATTGTATTATTAAAAGAGATACTAAAATGTTCTATATAATATGTATTATAGTAATTTTATGTCTATTTATACATTTGTATTTATTTTTAATTTTTTGATGTAAAATTACTCTTCTAAAAACTCGACCAACATGATTCATTAATACAAAATTTTAATATTGCTTTATATATTGATTGAAAATGAAAATAAAAATAATTATCGAATTATGTTGTTTTCTTAGTTTGAATGGCTCATAATTTGTTCCTGATAGCAATATATATCATCAAAATTGTACTTTTTATTGTTATTATACTATCATACAACATATTAATTTTTCATTATATATATACTTATTACATATTTATTATACATATGTATATCACACAGTAAAATATTTTAAAAAGCTTATTTAAAAAAATTATAAGATATGATCACAGAGAGAGTCTAAAACGACATAGTATAAAAATTATTTATTATCGATATTGTTAATTTGTATTATTACCCAGTAATTCTTGTGTTCGGAAACAATCACTTACAATCTTCCATTTATCACCCATAGCCGTAATTAGAAAAGTTTGATTAAACGATTTTAGATTTTTTTCTTCGTACTTTACTTGTCCACCAACTTTGACGAGAAATGTTAATTGATTGGCTACTTCTGGGCCTGTTAATATATTTATTAATATATTATGCTTTAATATTTCGATACAAATAATTTACTTACAACACTGGCAATGAGATGAATTTAGTAAATTTTTGTATTTTATATAATGTATTATTTACAATTCAAATTTGCAATTCATAGTGAAATAAGGATACAAATATCATATCTTAATGCAAATATTAAAATAAGAAAACATTTAAAATATTTATTTAGATGTGATAAAAAGAAAAGAAATTTTATCATGAAGAACTTGAGTCATAAAAATTGAGATATAAAATAAAATGTAACAAATCTAATATTTTCGAATATTTTTACTTGTCTGGTATTTTTATAGTCAAGAATGTTAAAGTGTAATGCGATTACTAGCATTTACCTGTAATTGGTTGAGCGTCAAGAGTAGAAATGGTATGCTCTGAAGATGGCAGATCTGTCCAAAACTTTTGTATATTATCTTTGCCAGCTACTCCATTTCCATTCCACATCAAACTAGCAGTGTCCATGTACATTCTTGAAATCAGCTGAAATTACATGTACAGTTACCATATAATCAACAAAGAAATATGTTTGACAGTATATTATTGTTACTTACATATCTCCGCTTATCTAGATATTCATAATACAGTTTTGTGAATTCCTCTGCAGTTCGACAAGCTTGATCAATTTTAGCTTTTAAGTCCTGAGAAAGTCAACACAGATGTAAGAATTGTATGGTGTAATCAAATACAATTAAATATGCAAAACATGATATATTATAGTATATTTATTATTTTTTATAAATAGTATAATAAAAATTGTTATTAAATTAATTATTATAATTATTAAAAGAATATAAATTATAATTTATAATGTAGAATATATCGTGCTTTTCTGATTTTGATGAAATCTCGTGTATATACATATATATAATATACATGTATGTAAAGAATATAGTAAAATCATTGCTATTAAAAGGATTATAAGTCGACGCTTTTTAAGGTTAGGAAATTTATTATAATATTCTTTTAATCGTATTCTTGTTTCACTAAATTTGTAACATTAAATTATACATATATATATACGAAATTTCAATGAAAATCGATATGTGTATATGTTATATTGAAAAATAAATATTTTTGCATATGTTTACTCGTTATATCACATTATAAAACATATCTCAATTTAAAAATTAGAAAAATTATTATATATTAACGTGTGATAACGTACCTGATCCATATTTTTTTATTCATCCAAAATAATAAGAGAAACAAATGTTTACGCTGCGCCTTTCATTCAACGTTTCTCGCACATAAAGATCAAGAAACGCATGGAACGCACGTCAACGCACTACAAGTAAATAAAGTCAACAGCACAAAGAATACGTATGTATGTATACATGTGACATTAGCTCCAAACTACTCCAATATTCAATATCCAATAGAAGACTTCTGTTTTTATATTCCAAAATATTGCTAAAATCATTGAAAAACAAGCTCTTTTATTGAGTACTTGCATCACTCAAAATTTATTTTTTGTAGCTAATAGAAAGGAAACATGAACATTAAATATGTTCTGACAAAGTCATGCAAATATATATAAAATAATTGTTTTTAAATAAAAAAATTTATCTATTTTTTGTATGATAAATTACCATTAATATCATCAATTATATAATTCTTAATAAATAATTACAAATTAATTACATATATAAATAATATAATAAATAAAGTAATTTATCATATTTAATATTATAATCTATATATGTATTCTCTCTTTATTATTTTATATTAATCATCATCCGTCGTCATCATCCTCGAAGAACTAACTTTCATTCAAATTAATAAATTATTAAAAAAATATTACGTACTATTTACCGCTGCATTTCTAATTATTGGACGTTTTGTCGGAGAAAAATAAGCTCAACCGGACCCATTAATTGGTTCCTCTCGAAACTCGGAAAAATCCTCTAGGCGATGGCCAATCGACGCGAAGTGAGCGTCCTACACTGGCGCGCCGACAGGTGGCGCGCCGATCGAGCCGTCCAGTCCCCATCGATCGTCCGATCTCGCGGCGACTCCGCGATCCGTTCACGGGCGAGATCGCGAGATCTCGCTGGGTCGGTCACGTGACATCGTACTTCCACAGTTATTTTTTCAGGCATGATGGCGCCAAACGCCAGTATTCACTTTTATGTAAATATAATATTGATTTGGTGCGTACCGCGATCAAGCACGAGCGTTCGCCGTACCGCGGCCGGCCGTCGTAAGTAGCCCCGAGTAGCCGGGGTAACGCGCGGACCCGCCGGCGGAGTGAGTAACGGACTGGCCTGTGCCGCCCGCCTGGAATCGCTAATGAGGACATGTTGGTTAGGCTGCCGTGACAGGGAGAGAGAGAGAGAGAGGACGAGGCCGTTACGCACTTGCAGGCAGCAGCCCGTCGGCGTGAACGCGGCGGCTCGGGAGCGCGCACGGCGATTGCCGGCGGCCCCGCGGCCGGTTTCACGTCCGCTCGCAATCACGTGCCGCCTCGCGCGCGGAAATATATCCGGCTAATAGATCAATAATAAGGTATTTAATAGTCTTCCCCTAGTGTATGCGTGTGCGTATGCGAGAGCGAATGTGTGTGTGTGCGCGCGCGCGCGCGCACAATGGACGTGTGTACGTGCGTGCGTGCGCGGGGGAGACTCGTAGTGTGCGGAGTGCGCGCGACGTTGCTGCCATCTGTATTGTCAATGTTGTCGGGCAGCAGCAGCAGCAGCAGGAGCACCAGCAGCACCAGCAGCAGCAACGTAATGGAGCCGTGAGCATTCTCGTAGATGTACGCAATTGCATCGATTGCCCTTGCCAACCGTGATCCGCCGTGTATACGATGAGATTTAACGCCGCCCGCGGCCCGCTCGATCGTCGACACGTGCAGTGAGTGTGATGAGTGTGCCCTTATTGTCGCGAGGCAGCGATCCGCGGAGAGCGCGGATCGCAGGCGCCCCGTTCTCTCTGCTATAGTCAATGTTTACATGAATCGCGACGTGATCCGATCCGCGGACGGCGCACGGGGATGTTGCCGCGCTGCGTCGCCGTGCGATGCGTAAGATGCGTAAGATGCGATGCGACGCGGTGCCGTGTCGTGTCGTTTCGTGTCGTGCGGTGCATCGAGCTGCGCTGCGTCGCGTCCCCGTTGCCTCCCCGTAGCGGTCAACGTCGCGCCGAGCGTCGCCCCCGCTGAATCGCCGTCGGCCGTCGTCGCCGTCGGCCGTCGCGACGACGCGCGACTCAGCCCCCGCCAAGTGGACCTACGTTTTTTTATAACCTCTTTTCTCTTTCCCCGCAGAGGAACGGTGTGTGCGGGAGGTCGCGCGCGCAGCCAGCCTCCGCGGGACACGCACGGTGTTTATCGACAACCGGGAAGACAACAAACAAGCGATCTGTCATTCCGTTGCGCGTATTTCGATTGACGTAACGGTAGCGCGACGTGATAGCGTCGAATTGAAAAATGCCTCCGTCCTGGCCGGGCTGTCGAGCTGGATGTTGTTGTCCAAGGTGCTGGCTGTGCGCGCAATTGGAAATCTATCTCTTGATCACTCTGGCATCGTTGTAGTGTTATTGACCTTAATTCTCTGTGCGCAGAAATCACATGTAATGCGAATATTTCATCTCTCTTGCTGTTCCCGCTGTATAGCAAACTGCTGACATTTATATGCAAAGTGTCACATACAAGATTCATTCGAATGTCTACTTTTAAAACTGCAATTTAAGCGCTATTTTTTCCACACCACTTATTCTTTCTATTCTATTATCTTTTGTAGTAAATGATTTATAAAATGTATCAGTATTATGTTTTTAATTCTCTCTCGATTGTATTCTTTATGTATTTTATTCCTTGTACTTGGCTTCTGCCACACATTTCTCTTCGTGTGTACTTATTGTCATATTTTCTTTTTCCATTTAATGTTTATATCAATCTCTAATCGCATCTTACAAGGAGCGATAGAAAAAATGAGAGTAATTTATTAATATTTCTACAACAAATTTATAAATATTTTGTTGTAGAAATATTTAATTTATAAATATTTCTATAACAAAGATGTTAATCGTGAGATTTTTTAAATAAAATAAGTCAGACGAGACTAATTAATGAAGTTAATAATTTTTTTAAATCTACTTGAATTTACTTATTCTTATGTTAATTATTGTACATTAAGTGTAAATTATATAAGTGAAACAACATAAATGCAACTAAATAGAACATAAAACTTAAATAGAACTAAATTCTAGATAAAATTATTACATATATTATTACATATTTAAAAAATATTGATGAAATGAATTGCAGTCTCTAATATGATTTTACAAAATGATTTGGTTCGAAAACTTGTCTTCTAGTATCATTTGTGTTATTTGACTAACAAATAAAATTATCTTTTCTTGTATTGACGCATATTCTTTCTTTATGTTTCAGTTCTGAAAAAAATCTGCTTTCCAGATAATAAATATATGGATAACTATGTAGTAAGTCTATTCTCCTGTTTATATATGATACCTTATAAAGTATGTTTTACAGAGAGAAGGAAACTCATATATTTGATTGTATTGTTTCAGGGTGCATACAGTTCACCTGCATGTGCCACGTATCACTAGCTTATTTGGCATAGTAGAATGGCACAACGAGGCAAGAGGCATAGAAACGACAATGATCTGGCGTCTTGTCCGGGCGCTATTAAAAGGCGCAAGTGTAGATTGGGTCCAGCTGCCACTGGTTCATCGGCATTGGCAGCGACCATGGGGCCCTCAGAAGAGGAGGAAACGATGGCGTCATCCAGCCAAGGGGGGGCATCCTGGACCGCCCGATCTGTCAGCGATATCAAGATTCCCAGCATATACAATCGATCATCCGCCGAAGCTCCGGCGGAGTTATTTCGCAAAGATCTGATCAGCGCTATGAAATTACCAGACAGTGAACCGTTAAGTCCAAACGAATATTGGGTTATAACTGATCAATGGAAACAGGAATGGGAAAGAGGTGTTCAAGTACCAGTTAATCCAGATTCTCTTCCCGAACCGACGGTTACTGTTACGCAAACGTCTCCTTTGAAGTTACAAACTGAATTCAAATTGTGAGTGTCTTACACAGTGCATTTGAAATGCTGATTACTAAAAGTGCATTAAAGTGCTATATAACGAAATTGTCTCGTGTTCGTTTCAGGCCTAAAAAGTTCGTACGAATATCTCGTGATGATTATTTTAACTCAGAAGATCATCATTTAAGTACCACTCCAGCAAGAGCAGAGAAAGCTTGTGCTTATGACCTTGATGATACTGATATTGCCTGGTTGGAAGTATTTAATGGCGAACGAGCACAGGTAAAACAACCTATATATATAGTAAATAAAAAATAAACACTTTAAATTAATTTTTTAATTGTGCATAAAGAATTATATTGATATTTTGTGTAAAATATTAAAAAACATATATAATTACAACGAGTTTTTTAACATTGAGAATTTGTATTTATAATTATAACATAATCAAACATATATCATTAAAGAATATATATATTTAATTAAATCAATATAATCTCGTTATAATTATGAAATAAATTTGACAATACTATACATAATTAATATTTAATTTGCCACTGAGAAGATTAAAACAGATAAACAGATTAAATTTGTTTTTGTACTTTTTAGTAACATAAGTAATTTGATAATTAATTTTTCTTTACGATTGTTATTAAGAAATCATTAATATATATAATGGAAATATTTATATATTAATAACTGCATATCTCCTGTGACTTATTGCTTTTTTTCTACACATCTGTATTCATGAATTAATGACTATTTTTATGTTAAAATTATCCTAGGCTGGACAATTGCCGGTTACAGAATCGCAATTAGAACGTGTAATAGAAGAATTAGAAGTGCGATGTTGGGAAAGGATTCAAACAATCGTCAAAAACGAGGAAGGGCTCGGAATTGAATATGATGAAAATGTCATTTGTGATGTATGCAGATCGGTAAGTAATTCTTTCATGATTTTTTTATATGATCAAAATTTGAAATAATTCATCTATTATATATTTTTTACATACATACGTGATACGTTTTAATTTGATTCTAAAGAATTCTAAAGAATTGGATTCTATAACGTGAAATATTTTCATGGCAGCCGGATTCGGAGGAGGGTAATGAGATGGTGTTTTGTGATTGTTGCAACATATGTGTACATCAAGCTTGTTATGGCATTACTTCGATACCCGATGGCTCTTGGTTATGTAGAACTTGTTCGTTAAGTCAAAGACCCGATTGTGTATTATGCCCTAATAAGGGTGGTGCAATGAAGTGTACACGAAGCGGTCAAAAATGGGCTCACGTTTCGTGTGCACTCTGGATTCCCGAAGTTAGCATTGGTTGTGTAGAGAGAATGGAACCAATTACAAAAATATCCAGTATTCCGGTAAATAATAGTTTTCTAAATTGTTTTCTCATAGATTTTCTACTATTCTGTATTTTTGTCAACATCTAAATTTATATAGATCACTATTTTAATTGTAAACAATTGTATTCAATTTTGTTTTTAATAATTTAAATGTGAGTTTATTTTGTTATCATATTCTTAATACAAATTGATTGAGAATATAATAACTAATTGCAGCAAAGTCGATGGGCCCTAATTTGCGTTTTATGCCGTGAACGTGTGGGTGCTTGCATCCAATGCAGTATAAAAACTTGTAAGACGGCGTATCATGTTACATGTGCTTTTAAATATGGACTTGAAATGAAAGCAATTATCGAAGATGAAATGGCGGATGATGGTGTGAAATTAAGGGTAAAAATAATCTTATGTGTTATTTAAATTTATCAAAATTAATAGTTTTGCACGTTTTGACTAGAATTTGACAAGTTAATTTGATAATTTCGTATTTCTTTAGTCATATTGTCAAAAGCACAGTAGAACAAATACAAAAGACAAAGTCGGCGTTGGGGGTAGTATGGGAAGTGGTGGTGGAAAGGGAGGATCAGATTCCGAGGATGGTGAATCTAGACGGCGTAAACGAAAAGATATGACTTCTGAAGAAAAAAATCAAGCACGTGCAGCAAAGTATGTGACATAATGTGGTTTTACAAATTACATTAAAGCTCACAGAATTGATTTCAAAAAATATATTTATAAAATTAAATATATATATTTATTTATTTATTAAATATCGGTACGAAAGTTTTATATTTAAATTACGTGAGAAAACTATTTTTAGATAAATATGTATTTATATTATTTTATATGAAAAATATCTTATATTAATAGATTTATATTTTGTGATTTATGCATCTCTTAAAGAAATTAATCTTTTTTGAAACCATGTTACAAAAAATAAATTATGTGTATCTTCATATAGATTACAAGAAATTGAAGCAGAATTTGATAAACATGTTAGTATAAAGGATATTACCTCCCAGCAATTGGACATAGATCCCGACAGTATTGTATACATTTATAACTATTGGAAACTTAAAAGAAGAGTAAGTTATGAATTATCTATATAAATCTGTGAATGCAAGAATGCATTGACTATGATACGATATGTATTACGTTTTAGGCTGGTCATAATAAACCATTGTTGGCACCTCGTTGTGGCGAGTTATCGAGCGCGGGTGCACGCGCTCAGGGTCAGGCAGCAGATGTAGAGAAAATGCGTACTTTTGTTCAACTGCGGCAAGATTTAGAACGTGTACGTAATCTATGCTACATGGTCGGTCGTCGCGAGAAACTTTGTCGCACTTTCCTGAGACTGCGTGAACAGACCTTCCATAAGCAAGCAATGGTAATGGCCGGACCGCCGCTATCTCCAGCAGCAGCCGTCGCCGTTGTCGAGGCCAATCACGGACCCTCGATATACGATCGTCTCTACTCCCATCCCGATGCTGAGGATCACACGCACGATTTTGAAACGATACTTGCCCGGATTGCGGGTGTCGAATCGCCTCCACCAGCATCGAGCGATGAAAAGAAGATACAACCAGACTTTAATGGCGCATCCAACAAGAAACTTTACTTCAACGGTTCCGCCAGACGCCTATATGGTAGCGATCTGTCGTCGATGAGCAGTAGCGAGACAGATGCGACGAAATCGGAAAGAAAGGCCGGAATTGGCAAATGCACAAACAAATCTAAAAGTTGAAGTCAACGAACGAGTCCGCCAGACGCCTATAATGGTAAGCGATTGCGGACAGTAGGAAAGACGAAAACAAAAAAGGAAAAAAAAAAAAAAAAAAAAAGAAAAAAAAAAAAAAAAAAAAAAATCTTCCGTTACTAGGCGAAAATCAAAGAAGAATACGTCAGATAGGGGATCGCGGGTAAAATTGCGCGACAGCAGCGAAAGCGATAAACTGGATACGGTTAACAAATCGCGTACTTTACAACATATGGAGCTTGGCAGTTCTGGCAGTGAGAGCGATGAATTGTTGCCATTGAGTACCAATGCCGGTTCTCGCCTCGGACCATCCGTTGCTTCCGCTATATATTCAGACACCGATTCGGACTCACAAGAACATCATTCGCACTCGGCTGTACTTATCACGAAAGCTGCAGTGAAGGAATTTTCGGCGGCAGATATATCTAAGAATAATCAGAAAAACTTTGCATCTAAGGATACTTCAAAATCGGAATATCAGGATGAATGTACGAAAAATAAAGAAAACATGAAAAATTCTAAAAAGAAGGAATATATACCATCCGCTCTGATAGTTCCGCAAAGGCAAGCAGCGAAGAAAGCATCGGAAATTATGCAGCGAACGCAGAGCAAGAAGGAAAATACCACGAGCGAGCCCGTAGAGTTTGTAAAATCACCCGGGGAACCTCTGAAACCGAATAAAGAGAAGCCTTCTAGCAAGAAACATCGTGATAACAAAACACCGAAGGATGCTAAGAACAATGACGTTTATGATTTTGACAAGGAGTTTGGCGATGGCACGGAAATCCTCGCTTATGTACCGCAACGGCAGGCCGCAAAGAAAGCTGCGGAGCATATCAAGAGTGGCATGGGCACGAAAACTGCTCAACCAGATCTCGACATTGCGGACACCAAACCAAAGAAAGAATTGCCGGATAATGGTAAGAAGAAGGAAATCATCAAGAAGGAGGAATCGCCCAAGAAAGAGGAATTACCAACGAGAAAGGAAGAGCCATCGAAAGAAAAACGAGGAAAGAAACAGATGCCCGAAAGCAGCAACAGCGAGAGTAGCAGCAGTGAAAGCAGCAGTGGCAGCAGCTCCTCGGAAAGTAGTAGCGATTCCGATGTAGCCAAGAGTCCAGTACAGAAAATGTCGAACATTGCTAAGGAACCAGCTTCCTCTTCGACCACCACCAATGCCACATCTTCTGAAAGCGATACCGGTAATCAAATGAAGAACAAGACTGTGAATAAGCGACAGACGGTGAATAAGGTTGCAGACGAGATAGTCGAATCCGAGAAAAAGACTCTTGCGAGGCGGAAACTCAAGAGGCTGCCCGATAAGAAGCTTAAAACTTCCGACGGGCGGCATGGACCAGAGTTTCAGCCGCCGCTTATTGAGAGAGAAGAATCAAGTAGAGCCACATTACCTAAAGAGTCACAGCAACAACAACTGCAGCAGCAGCAGTCACTTAGTAAGAAAGCCGATCAAAGAGACTCCAAAAAATCATCCTTACAATCACAACAGTCAGTTGAACAAAGTGTGCTCGGTGGTTCTCGAGATAATGATGGGCTACGAAGTGTTTCTGGGGCCAAGTCTACCAAGAAATCGAATCAATCAACCAAACAGATGCAACAACAACAACAACAGCTCACTCTCAGAAACAAAGAAGATGGCAGCGGCGGCGGAGCAACGTCCAGGACGAAGTCGGAGACTCGCAAACGAAAATCAAGTGAGGTTACCGCAAAGGACGACAAGAGTAACAAGGAAACGACACCGCTCAAAAAAATAGAAAAGAAACTAACGGAGAAGACAAACAAGGAAACCGAGAAAGACAACAAACATGATGTTACTAGCAATAAGAATGTTTCCGCAGAACCTCCAAAAATTATTGAGAATACTACTAAGACAGAAGATAAAAAAATCAAGAAAACTAGCAATAGAAATGCGATCAATACGTTAGAGGAGGAAATGAAGCAACGACGAGCGGAACGGGACAGTCCGAAGAAGTCATCGAGGGGATTGGATAAGCTCCTGGAAAAGCGCGAGCATTTAGATAAACTGTCAAGGAATAAACTTGCTACTCAGGAAGAGAAAAATGCATGCAAGGAAAATAAAGACAAGATCACAATGTCCGAGAAATCAGTTAAGAACGAAAACATTAAGAATCATATGAATGAGGAAATCGCAGTACTAGATATCATGAAATTGGAGAAGGAGGATGTAAAGAGAGATGTCGAAATTGCGCCGGAGAAATCTGCAGATAAGAAAAAGAAGGCAGAGCAGAAGCTAGAGAGCGAAACGCAGGCTGCCGTTGAGATGATCACGATCGAAGAGAACACCGCTAAAGAGTCCACCATTGATAACATCTGCGCGAGATCGGTGCTCGACAAATCCGAAACTGCGATACCCGAGAAGGAATGCCAGCAAAAGAGGAGAAAGTCCGTGAATCGTTCTATCTTTTCGCCGCAGCATGGTAGCAAGGATCCTAGCGAGTCAGAGCTGTTCGACTTCGATCAAGACATACTGACTGATGACATAGTGAATGACGATGGTTTTAGCATACCGCGCGATGAGGAACGAGGAGCAGCGCCTCTCTCATTCTCTTTCAATAATGAGCTTTGGTTCAAAGAAGACAAAGAGGATAGTGCACGTGAAACTCTGCATCTAGTAGAAAAATTACGTTTGGAACTATCGAAGAAATCGAATTCTAGTCAGTTCGAATTGGAATCCGTTCCGGCGGAAGAGGAACTTCCGAAGAAAGAAGAACCGCCTTTTCATTCGGTTGAGAAGCCAGCGACCGAGGAGCAGCAGCCACTGCTTCAAGAAAAAGTGGTGGATGTATTAGAACAACAATCGGTGGAACAACAGCCGCAACCAATTGTGCAGCCGGTTGAGATGAAGAATGATAGCGGGCCAGAACCCGTGCAAGTGTCCGAGGATCTTACGTGCAAAAATCATACTATTGAAGACAAAAGAAAGCCCTGCTATTCGAGTAATAGCAATAATGAGCAACATTACATGTACGGAAATGAGGAGCGCGAGACGGCCAAAGTGACAGTGGTGGAACGTGCAAAACTGGATAGGGCTGAGGCGGATGAGAGATGGGTACCGCCGAGCATGGACAATTTTAATCCAAACGATGTACATTTGAATACGCTAATCGACAACCAGAATCACCGTTACGCCGCCGCGGCCGCCGTCGCGCATCAATTCCCGAACGACATCAGTGCCGTAATGCCGGATCCCACGGCGAATCCCGACGCTCTAGTCGCGCATCTGCAACTCAATATGAACATGCAGGATCAGTATCTGCAGTTGCAGCAGACACACCCGATGGAACGGGTGCAGCAGCACCTCGAGGCACAGCATACCGTAGCACAAGAACAGTCGCGCGTGCAATCTCTCGCGATGATGGATCAGCAGCAGGTAGCGGCGACTGGTGCAGGAATATCGGCGCAGATTGTTGACGAGATTACACCCATGGAGATGGTGAACCGCCACTTGATCAGTCTGCCCAACTCGGAGGACTGCGATCAGAGCAGCGAGATGGATCGCGTGCTAGACAAGGAGGATGTCTCGTCGGACATCAGGCAGGACTACGCCCAGAGTGGTTCGCCCTACAACGAGCTGAATGGTCGTCCAGACACGCGATGGGCCGAAAGCCAAGTGTTGCCTTCGCGTAGATCTACGTCGTCCTCCATTACATCCGCGTCCTCCGCAGAGGAACACGCGGCCATACCACCTTACAAAAATGTACCTCCGATACCACCATATCCACCATGCACGATAGACGCGACGCCTTACCATTCGTACTCGGAGACCAGTTCTTATGCTGCTGGAGCGGTGTCGCTGTTCCCGCCGCAGTCGTGCGCCGCACAATTGCCGTATCCGTCGCCATTCCCACCACCTTTTGGCGCACCTTTCCCGACTCCGCCATCTCTGTTACCACACGTACCGAAGCCGCTCGAGGAATCGCTCAATATGGCATCACCGTGCACCGCAGCGTTCACCTCGTCGTCGCATAACATGGCGCTTACCGCAGCTATGGTATCGCCAACGAAGGTGACTACGCCGCCGCCGTCGGTGCCGGCGCCTCCACCGCCACCATCATCGGTATCGCAACAGCAATCGCAGCAGCAGCAACCGCCATCGACGCAGCCGCCATCCTCGGAAACACCGGGCCATACACCGTCTTTGCTGCCGCAGCAAGTTAACTCGCCTACCGTACCGACGACCTTCCTCAATGCCATCGTTGAAACGCAGGTCAACAGCGAAAATTCTGTCGTGGAGAATATAACGGAGGTACTTGGTCCGGACAACAAGAGTACGTCATCCGGAAAGAAATCGCCATCAAAACCAACGAGAACGTCCGCCAGGGTGACGTCGTTGCAGGGCAAATCACCTGGTAAATCGCCGCGTCAGGAAACCACTAGAACCGCACCGACTGCTCGCGGTCGCGGTAGGGGTGCTAAGGGATCTCAACACTCGAATTACCGCGGTCGCGGTCGCGGCCGGGGACGGGGACGCGGCCGAAATAATCAGAATGCGTCGATCGCGATGATGCCACCAATGTCAAACGCGTTGCACAACGACGACTCGATACAGAACAAGCTTGTAGGCACTGTATACGACTTTGATTCGGATGATGACTCTGCGAACGAGACCAATATCGCGGATCTACGAACAATGCGCGAACGAAAAAGATCCACCGACGTGAACGAAAAGACGCGGATCAACGAGCCACTCGGAGGCATGGCAAACGATGGCGGTATTCAGTCCCACTTGTCTAGTCCTACGTTGCACACCGCAAAGAAATACGTCGATGACAAGAAGCTCTCGTCACCGGCGGCGCATCACGATCATCAAGCTATTCTGGCCAAGTCCGAATCGAGCGTTAGCCATCAAGCATTCGTCGACAATACGGTTATGCCATTGTTACCGGGTCCAGTGGATATGCGTACGTATAACTCGACGGTGGACCAACCGAGCTCGTCGGTTCACGGTCAGTCATACGGCAATCATTTACTGGGCACCTTCGCTGCGAGCGTATCCGCAGAATCGAACTTGCCGGACATAGACGATCTGGAGAACGAACTATTGCACGGCAACTGTTGCGTATTAAAGAAGCTCGCTGGCAAGCAGCAGCAACTCGCGAGCGGAGTCTTCGAAGATCCATGCTCTAAACCAGTCTTTGCTGATCCGTCAGTGATGGATCCATCATCCGCAGCTAATTTTGACACTAACAAAGTTTCCCTGACCGACTCTAGGAACCAGTTGAAGGTGAAGATCAAAGGCCCATTCCTCGACGCGAACTACGTGCCGGCATCGTCGGTACCGCCATTGGCTCAGCAAGCACCGGTGATAATCCCACCGGCCGCCACCAGTGCGTCTGTCGCTTCAGGAACATCGAATCTACGTCGCATGCGTAAGAAGGAGCTATTGCGCCAGTATTGCTCGCAGGACATGAACATGGATGATCCAGTGTGCGGTAGCGTTGCTTCCGCGCCTATAGTTCAGCCCATTAATCGAACAGTCATTACCATTCCTAAGGCTGTGGCGTCCATGACAAGTATACCGACTCGTGACGACTATAAAGCGGTCGTCGACGCGAACATGGAGAAGAAACGGCGGAAAGAACGTAGCGTCGGTGGCGGTAGTGGCAGCAGTGGCTTCGACGTAGTAGCTGGCGAGGATGAGAGCAGCTCCGACAGAAGACGCCTCGTGGTAGGTACCGTCAGTGATCGGCGAAGAGGTAGACAGACCAGGCCCACCGCGACCAGCGCCGGTCCGCCCAAGTTGAAGATCAAGATTGGCAATAGCATAATCGGTGGTCAGGATGTAGGCAACATGCAGGACGATCGTAGCAGGATAAGACCGCCGAAGAAACGACTCAGCAGCATCCCGAGCACACCTAGCATGGAGGAGCTCCGCCGGGAGAGTATGAAGTTCCGCAAGATGATCATGGCGGGCTTCGACAACGACGAGAAGACGAAAAGCAAGCGCGACAAGAACGGCAAGCGCAAGAAGCGGCAGTCTAAAAAGGAGGCACGAGTGCAAATTCTGGAGGACGGTCCGGCACCGCCCAAGATCATCATTCGATGGCGCACGGTGGCGGGCGCAAACTCGACGGTGACGACGAACAACAACGCCCCGAATGACGCGCCAGCCATCGGCGACGAGGACGACAATCAGCAGCAGGCATCATCGGACAAGGACAGCCGGGTGGGTCCACCGCCGCCTGAGCCGACCCACAAGGACGAAGTGGGGATCTACCCGATAGGGGAGAGCGGCGTCGACGAGAAGCAGCCTACGGACCCGAACACCGGCGTCGCTGCCCTCGGGAACGTCCGTTCGGCCAAGTTAACGCCGATCCGATTAAAACTTACGCGCTGCCAGAAGGGCTACGAACTCAAGGATCCGGTGCGAGTAGCGAGCAGCGCGAGTGCGGACGACGATGGTGGTGGTGGTAATAGTAGTAGCAGTAGTAGCAGCAGCAGCAGCAGCAGTAGTAATAGTAGTACTAGTGCGACGACAACGACGGTGACGTTGGTGAACTCGGTGGCGCCGTTGCCGATCGGCGGCGTCGAGCAGGAGGAAGACGAAGAGACGGCGACGACGGCGTCGACGATGGAACGATTGTCGGCCGCCGACGTCGTCATCCCCGTTGCTGCCGCCGCCGCTGAGACGAGGTCCGAGCAAGAGGAGCAGCGGACTCTGTCGTGCACGGAAAAGCAATCTTCCAAAGAGGATATTCCATTGCTGCCCCAGTCCGCGAATCACAGCTCATCGCCGGGCCGTCCGCCCGCACCGCTCCCGCAAGGATGCCAAGTTAGGTGATAATTAATGATAATTGTATAATACAGTAATTTAGTGGTTCTTTCTTAGACGAATCTATATATTGCACGGGTGTGCGTATTACGCATTTATACGTACGGCACCTCGCTGGGTTGGAGACCCTCTGTCGTGCCTATGTGTGCGTAAGGTACACTCGTCTATGCATACGCAACACATACACGTACACATACGACAGATGTATATTGTTCAATGTTGAGACAGAGACTCGCTAGGGAAAAAACGTTGTAAGAGTGTAATATAAATTATTGATTATTGTAAATGATCTGAGGGTGAAGTGAAATTTCACAAAGTGCCCAAAATTTACGGTAAATATTACAAAAAAGAAAAAAAAACACAGGCATTTCTCCGGATGTATCAGCGACCCGCGCTAAGGTGTACCTTCGTTGCGTAGTCGAATCCACATAAAACTCTCGCTTAAGTTTATATCTGATTCTTTCCCTCTAATAATGTGGATCGAGTAAAATTTTAATTTTATAAATATTTTTGACGCAATTATATATAATATATAATATATAAAGAGCAAAGAACAGTCATGTGACACTTAATTATTTGTTTCTTTTTTTTTTCAAATATTAAAAATTCTCTTTTAAAGAAATCCTGGAATCCTGAATGTCCTTGCAAATTTTGATTGATTGATCGTATAACTTGTCATGCATAATTTACACCTATTATTTATTTAGTTAAAACTGTTAATATTTAAACTTTATCATGAACTTTTTCTTTGTTAGAGAAATAATTTCCTTTGACGAAATACAATTCCTTCCAATCGTTGATCGACGTGCAATGCTCAAAGATTTTTCTCATGCTCGTCGGTGCGACCTCAGATCAATATGATGACTACTTGTCATTGATTAGATACTTTAAAAATCTCAACGATCGGTAAAACGTATTGATTTCTGACATCCTGAAAAGAATGAGGCTCGTGTTTGAGAGCAACAATCGACACCTTAATGAGGGTATTGTGCCAGCGACATAAAATTATCTTGTACAAACAAACATATTTCTTAAATCACCGCCTAGGTCGTGATTTTTCAATGCTAACTATAATAAATTTTAATAAATCCACAACACACTATAAAATATACAATATTTCAATCGATCTTATATCGATTAACGTGTGGCAAGGAGAGCATATATCAGCCAGACGTGAGATCAAAAGAGAAAAGGGAGATACGCATTTTTCTTTTTTTTCCTTTTTAATTTTCAGAAAACGATTTTTTAACACACGAGCATACCCGTTTGCGTTTGGTTCGCGCCCGAAAAGAAAAGGAGGGAAAGAAAGAAAGAGAGAAATACGATGTATCATTGCTCTCGAAAATATCGCGCTCATGTGTCCTTTGTTTTCTTTCTTCCTTTTTGTGTTTTCGCCTCACAGTGTGCAATTTACGCATACGATCGCAAAGTTAGACGCGAAGATATTTTTTTATTATATTTTTTTACGCATTATATTATGTACGCGCTTCTAGCGCAATTTGTTACATAGTTTTTTTTTATAGGACACGATGCGTCATTTATTAATCGTCACCGATTATCTATTTTATCCCTTTTCACGTTGTAGCTCTGTTGCATGTATATTTATTTATGACGATCAAATGTAAGACGCTATTTATTCACCATGCATTCTTCTTCGAAAGTTCCACAAGAACGATTTTTAGACGATTTTTCATCAGTTCATCTTCTCTGTGTTTATTATTATTCTAATATTTATGTATATATACGCTATTATACCATGATTATTAATTACTTATTTTTTTGTATTTATAAGTCTCGTATCGTTTTAATCTCACCACGTATAGATAATGAGAGTTATGCGTATAAAATACTCATGGTTGATGAAGCGGCGTGCCATGTTTTGTACCGATATTAAAAAAGAAAAAAAAGGAAAAAGAAATACGATCGAATTTTACGGATGTAAGAAGAGAAAAGGGAGAGATTTCCTTTCTGATACGCGTCGCATGCACATTCGACGAATCACGAGATAAAGATGTAAGAAAATATTTCGTTCATTTTGTTTTGTGCGAGGCCGAGGAGCGACGCATCTCATTATCATTCTCACCCTTTGAGAGAGAGAAGACTCCTGACAGGATTCGCGCGCGCGTGTGTGCTTTTTCCCCCTACTTTTTAAGTACCAGCAACTTTGAATAATTCTATTAATTTTATATTATGTTAAGTGCAAATACTTTTAAGAGAGGGAGCGAAATATATTTAAAGATGAAAAGTTCTTTCGACGGGGATAAAGTATCATTTCTGTTATACTGTAGAAGCACGTCTTTTTCAGATAAATTATTGCTCAAATGTAACATTTGAAAAATTATAATAACATATCGAGTTTTACTTTACATAGATACCCACACACATACACATACACGAACACGTTGGAAATACGAATAAAAATAATTAAAATCTTTTAACACTTTATAAAGGTATATCAGAGATGCTGGTGTCTCTTTGTTATTGTATTTATTTATTTTTCTATGTGTTCTTTGTTATTGTATTTTAAGTTGATGGTACGTGAAAGTGTCAAGGGAAGAGATTGAAATTGATAAACAATCAGGATGACATGATTGATCGAGGAAGATTAGCGGCGGCTGAATTTTAGGTCGATTGCGTGCAATGAAGGCATGTATCCTGTAAAACGCAAAACTAAGATTGTTTATCTTTTCACCTATCCGCTTTTGTGTGCATTGAAGGGAGATTTTATCAATTGCTGATTCATGCGAAATGTGCAATTATTACGGCGTCCGTAGGAGAGAAGGTCCTTCGTCCCGGTCCTCGCACATTATCGATTGTGAAGTGAAAAACCCTGGCAAACTGTATGTCAGCAATCTTTTTGAATAACAAGAAGAGAATAATTTTATTTCGATAAAATGAAATAAAAACGTGAAAACATGGATATTAAAATAAGAATCGAAAGTACAGATGGTAGAAATGTGTGGATAATGATCTCAAATTTTTCAAATATTTTTCTCGGGCAGAAGAGAATAATTTCTTATTGTTTTTCACTCCACAATTGTAACGCGACGCGCAGGATAAGAAGCTGTATATACTCGTATATTGAATAAGATACAGGAATCTGTAATTGGTATGAAGCTTATATAACGGCTGTGTTACCGTACGGATTTTATCTTCCAAATGGTTTTAAGTTACTTTTTTTTGGACGAACATATTAAAAGATAATAAAAAAAAAAAAGAAAAAAGATATAGTGCAAGATTGCGCCGAAAGACTTTCGATACCTCTTCCAACGAAGATCGTTTCTCAGAGAAGAATGTCGCAGCGCGGTTCACTTGCGATCGATGAACTTTTGGAGGTACACTAACAAAAATTTTAAATAATTAAAAATAAATTAAAAATAATAGAAATACACAAAAGAAAGAAATTGTATTTTACCAGAAAGAAAAATTCATCTTGCAATATTTCTAACGTTTGTCATTCTCTCGATCTTTTTCTCATGCGCGTAAGCAAAAATCACAGATATACCGAAGAAAGTTTGTCGATTTAAGGGATTAACGAGCTGGCGAATCTCCTTATAATCAGACATTAAGTATCTTCCATGTATTTTGCACACATATACACATATATGCAAAACGACACATGCAAATAGACAGGACACACATACACATGTTTACACACAAATGCACACGTTGGACTAGGAAGGTAAAATAGTTTTTTGCCGCAATCTCTCTCTTGTGTCTCGTAAAGGGAGTAAAAGAGAGCGAGAATGAGAAAAACGAGAGAGTGCGTCGTATATGTGTGAGAGCGAAAGAAAGAGAGGAAGCGAGGAGGAGGCGTAGCTTGGCGATACCGTTTCGTCCCAATTCTTTATTGTCATAACTCGTTATTTTCTTGTTATTCTGCGCAAGAAAAATCAAATCAAATGAAATATTGTTTAACGTGTCGGCGATTTTACGGACTCGCCGCCGCTCTTAAAATTCTCATCGATCGCGCAAACGGAACTTTTCCGTGCGGTTCCTCGGAGCGTATTGCAACTCGATCATTGATCAATTACGAACGGAAGATTGATTAATGAATCGACACACATGCCGAACCGGTTAAACGTTTCGCGAACGAAAGAATTTTATATACCTTCAGACTTTGCATACATCGCAATGTACATTTTTTCAGTGATAAGCAGAGTTTTAAGAGCCTATATTGTACAGAAATAAAGAATAAATATTTGGTTAATTTTTAATCGTTTCTTACATGCATGCACACATATATATATATATGTATACGTATACATACATATATATATGGAAATAACGATAAGGCTAATAACAAATAACGAGGAATTTAATATTATATATATATATATAAAATATAAATATATATATATATAAATATATAAATATGAACATATATATACATATATATATATATATAAATATAGATAGTTTTATTATAATGCAACAAATGAGTAATATGATATTTAGTTATTGTATATAATGTAAGAAAGCTGATATTGTAAGATACAGATAAGGTGTTTTAATGTGCACATAGTCGCGTCATTGTCAATAATCATATTATTACGATTAATAATAATTACAGTTTTTTACATTCTGCGTTTTCTTCTTCACCCAATACCTACATATTTTGTCTGAAATAGATATACAAGTTTTCATATAAAATTTCATAAAATCCTTTTGCTGGAAAAATTGTAAAGATTGTTTTATTTTCATGTTTTTTAATATTTTTTTTAATAAAATATGTTATATTCAATAACAATCATTTTTTCAGAAAAAAATTTATTACTGATTAATTATTATTGTTAAATAAATAAATAATGTCAAATAAATTTTTTTTTGTCGATCATATAAATTCGCAAATATTTTTTTAGGGTTGCTAATTTAATTTTAAGCATATTTTCAGGGTATCTAAAACCTTTGGAGAATTTAGAGAATCATTTCGAAATTCTTTACATGTTCTGTTATGATTACCGGAAATACATACAAATGTAACAGATTGATAATTTAGGTAAATGTAGCAAAAAGAAAGAGAAAAAATTAATATAAATTGTTATATATACCAATATTCACAAATAAACTATAAAACTGAAATGCAAAAATATAAAAAAATTGTATACGAAATAAAAAACAAGTAGACAATAAAAAACTAATTGTGAGTACAATTTTATATTTACAGATTATAGAATAAAATTAATCATATATATTAAATACGTAAAATAAAGAATCTCTGTCTTTATTCAAAAGCATGATTAGATGGGATAAAATATCTTTTACATATCACTTTTTCATATATCATTTATTTTTTTACGCTGAAGACTTCAATGGAATACTTACATGATGAAGACTTCAATTAAACACTTGTACAACTAATGAAGTTGTATTTGTATTTGTATTTTAAAGAAGTCGAATAATAATGCAAAAGACCAAGAAATATATTGACGGCGATAAAATATTATACACATATCATTTAATACAAAAAACCTGGGGAACAAAATTAACCCCAGTATCCCCAGCCACCTCCCCAACCTCTTCCTCCACCCCAATAGCCTCGGCCGCCCCATCCGCCATATCCTCCTCTCCAGCCACCCCAACCATATCCTCTTCCATATCCCCAACCACCGTATCGCCATGGTCGTCCGTATCTGGAATTGTTCATAGATTAGTTAATTAAAATGAACGATTTAATCGTTTACAAATTTTTTATTATGCAAATATGTACTAGGTAATTTTTAAAACGCAATAAACGTTTAATAAAGTGTTATATTTAAGTAAGTTTTTATTTATAAATTAGAGAGAAACTTTATTTTTCTTAAGTATCATATTAAAATTTATCATATAATTTATAGTCAAACGATTATCGAATGAAAGATATCACGAATTATGAAAGATATTATTTATGTTGTGCGCGTTGATAAAATTATAACTATAATTATACACACAATTTTTAAAAAATAACAGCAAATATATTGTCCCGTTATATTCTACTTTTTTTTAAATTAATTATACTGCCATTACAAAGTATAGAAAATGCAAATAAGAAACATTGACAATTTTTCAAATGAAATCAAATTTAAAAATCAAAACATTTTTATTTCAAACATGTAACGTAAAATTATTTCAAAAATATCGGTCAATAGATTTTTCTCAATAATATAAATATAAATACTAACACCTATTTAAAATATGTTCTTTGTTCTTAGTTTAAAAATTTGCAAGCTTTTTTTATATTAACAATATATTATTTTTTTTATATTATTTTTAAGTTATATGCTTATAATCTCTTTCACCGATAAATTTCGACGTTTTACTCTGAAATATCACTTGTAAAAATGGATGAGATGTGTATACAATAGTTGCAAATTGATCGTTGGCAACTAGCTTTAGTGCTACTTGCGCATCAGAATGTGTCATTTATGCACATGGCTAGTTAGAGTATGCATGTTGACGAAATGGACGAGAAGCCTGCGTAGTCAAGAGACAGGGTCATGAATGCGAATGAAGGTAGCACAAAAGTATAATATTTTTTAGAGATGTTTCCCCGTTTCTTTTCGCGGTATATCGTCTTTACAGATGAGCTGCGCAAACAAACTTTGCATACAAAGTACACTTAAAAAGGTAACTTTATATAAAAATAATCGCAATTGAGTAAGTTTTGATTGCGACGGAATACGTGATTGTTATTTAATATGTATTACAATTATTTATATCAAACATATGCAAAATTCTTATTTTGTGAGAATCATCTGCAAAGTCTAACTCACATTTATAGTAGTTACGTTTTACAAAACGCCTTATAGAATAAATATAATACAGATCTTTGTGATTTATACTTAATCTAATCGTGTTTTTATTAAGAAGCTCATTTAAAATCAGTCTTGAAACGTGATTAATGATATAGTTCAATACATAAATCTTGAAAATCAATTTAATATTCGCGACATCATATTTATAATTTCGATTCAATAGAGAAACTCAGATGAAGTTTGTCTTAAGATGTGCACTTGCAGTTTAATAATTGTTACTTGAGAAAAAAATATATATGTATGTGTGTATATATATTAATAGTCTTTGAATTTAATATCAACTAATAATAAATAATGAGTCGACACAAATCACACAAGTATGATTCAAGATAATTTAAGAAGAAAGATTAATATTTACAGAAGTATATTTAAATCGCAATTTAATATCAAAAAGATTAATGTTGTTATTATAAATCTTGCAATAAAAATTTTTGTAAATAACACTTACAAGTATGAATGTCACTTTTATATAGTCTTATATAGTTGATCTTAGTTGATCTTCCGCAAAAAGAATTGTTGAATTCATATCTCAAAACATGGAACTGGAACTTGAGTATCTCAGCTGATTCGTTCTTGAGACGCTCTTTGCGATTATAAATACCATGATACTATTTTTATTATATGATAGTTTAATTTTGCGTTTGATAATGTCAGTAAATAATATTAATCACGCATATAATCTAATCTAATCTCGAGTTTTTTACGATGCAAGTTTGAAAACAGTCTAGAATAACATATATAGTTATATGTATCTATCTTTTAATTCATTTCATATATTTTCACAGATTGTTATTAAATCCACAAATTTCTTGTGCAAAGATAAATAGATATTAATGGGATAGAATGATTTATAACCAAACTCACCCCCAGTACGAGGCATCTGCTTCCAAATCATTGGTATCTGGCTGTGGTTCGATCTCACTCTGTGGTTCGATCTCACTCTGAACGTATAGCGGTTTTGCTTCCTCTTTTTCCGCAGCAGCGGCGAACGCAAGAAAAGCGAACGCTGCGAAAAGGAATACCTAGAATCAAATATGATTCCTTATTATCATTCTTCAATTTGCGAATTAAATTAATTTATTTAGAAAAATTTTTTAAACTTTATTTAGAAATATTTTTTAATATACTTTAAATTCGTTCAGGCTGATCAAATTCATAATCTATAGTTCGAAGATATGAAGAAATATGAAGATTTATAATATTTTACTTAATATCATGCAATAAAATCTTGCGAATCTCATTTCTTGAAAATATACTTGAAAAATTATCAATCAATTAGAGATTTGATTAATCATTAGAGATGCAAATCCTATAATAATGAAATAATTTATCATATATAACGTAATGTATATTTGAACACTTTATAAAATTACAACTTGTAGAAATAAAACTTAAACTTCTCTGAATTATAATAATATAATAGCATATATTTGTAATAAGTGTATTGACAATTTCTTCATCATCAATGATTTGATGTATTTTGAGCAGCCATCACTGTACTTTCCGCAGAATGTTATTTAATTAGATATATTAATTTATTGTCACTTTAATTTAATATCATTTAATTTATTTTTCAGTAGTCTTTATTGTCACGATATTTTTTGACTCTTCAATTATATCAGAGATAATTTATTCTAAGCGATAATTGAAATAATTGAGCTCGCGCGATGTGAATTACGCTAATCGGACAAGTTGATTGGACTCTTTTTTTCGCGATTGACATTTCGTGCCTTTAAAAATACGCGAATCGAAACACACGTGACGACATGAGAGAAATAGAAAGATCCCACGAAGAAGATAAATCTCGCATTATCAATGCCAAGGATGAGACATACAAAATCACTTACGAAATGCATAGGTCGCAACATATCGGGGACTGATTCCATTTCGAGTAGAGCAGGCCTTATATATGCGATCGTCCCAGTGTGTTTTCAAGACGCACGGATCCACACGTGCGTCTTTGCACGTGTGTCATCAGCAGCCTGTGGTTTCGCAGGTCGAGTGCCAGAGTGAGAAAAAAAGACGAACCGAACGAAAAGGTGTAAATACGTGTAGGATACGTAAGTTGCGGCAGAAAGAACCACAAATGGAAATGCCAGTATGATTTCGGATCCTGGGATTTCATAGCACGAGGTGTCGAGGACATGATCCTCGTAAAATTCAAAAAGGGTTTGTCAATGCTATTGAAGCGAATGCAGGTGTTCCCATTGACTTTATTCTCTTTTATCGCGAAGCTATTTCGTTGTGCTTTAATTTGTGCTGGTGCAAAATAGTGATTACAAAGAAACACTTTGAATTTAGGAAGATGGAAGGAAGAGTAGTCTATTCTTTCATGAGACTTAGCGAGAGAGCGAATATACAAATCACGAATAATTTTAAAAGATTTTTTTTTTGATAGCACAGTTTTTTCTTAGATCACCCATAATATGGATGAATAATTGTTTGGATTGCGTACTCGATTTGCAAGGAAAACAGGCAATTTACATACATTTAGCATCAATCTAATCGTATAATACAATACTCGGTATTTTCTTGTTGACCAAAGGTATTCTAGGAAGGCGCGCTTTTATGTTCCTGGACTGGAATTATATTTCGTCAAATTGCGTTTTTGGAAGATCATTTAAGTTCTAGGGGGATGATAATGACCGATGGGATGAAGATCATTCTGGGAATTCTATGCGTCGTTCTTATGAACAAAAAATATCCGAGGATCCCAAAAAGTGACTGCCCTTCTGACGTGAATTAAAAACGCCGAGTTGTTGATGCGCGATTAATCATTGTCCGGCATCATACATTTTTTTAAATTATATTTTACGTTTTTTTATTGTCATTTTTAGTAAAATTTTATATAATTTTTTAAAATTTATAAAGTAATACTGGATGCATACATATATAAATATATCGAATCAGTATGCAATTAAATCGTTTGCAAAAAAAGCTATTATTGAATGATATGTGATATCTCTCTTTATATAACAAGCTTGATATATATCGGTATATTATAAAAAGTGTTTACAATATTGTCTTTTTATTAAAATTAACAATTGAAAAAATATTTAATATAAAGTTGAAGGTCTTTTTTTTTAAGTAACTGTGTGCCGTGTTTAATAATACAAATATAACTCATGATAGTTTTAAATATATAGATATCATTTTTGTAACAATCTTTGATAAGTGTCCCTGACCTAGAATTTGCAATACTTTATATTCAATTTGAGTGAAAGTTGACTTTTATCTTTCTGAGATAGTCATTTTATTCTTTTTAAGACGATTCATAAAATATTGATCGTTAAAAACAGCGTTGCCGCAATTTTTTTAAAAGCCAATACAAACAATACATGCGAGATGACGTATTCGATTGGGTATGTGTCCGTTTAAATCAAAAATACGATGAGATGAATCACACGATCATATTTTAAAGTTGGTATGTAAAATTGTTAGAATAAACATCATTAAGAAAATCATCTTCTCGACATCTCTCGTACAGTAATCATATATATACGCAGCAAACATTTGGGAAATACTTCGGGAATACCTTGATTAGATACTCGTATCGAATTCATTGTTTCTGTATGTTTTGCACTTGAGAACGATTAAAAACTTGTATTCTGCGCAAAAATTAAAGTAAATATTCGCATATTCGAACACTTCTTCTTACGCGACAAAACGAATAATGATATAATAGGTTTACCATCAATACTTCAAAATTTTTCATAGAGCGGCAAAAGAAAAGTTCACACACAATAACAAATAATAATAAGATAATAATTTTTGTTTTAAAAATATCACAACATTTTTCATAATATGTTCAATCATTTTAATAACAAAACTAAAGTAGATATTTCTTTTTGTAACAGAAAATAGAAATCTCCTTTTTTTACTTTTGCTCTAGTTTTTCGAAAAGTTTAAAAAGATTCTATGAATTCCTATAAATTTCTTATAAATTCTTATCGATATTTTTTCTTGTAAGTGGAGCTAGAAATAAATAAATTCAAGAATTTTTCAATTAAATCCTGATTAACCGGTCCCAAAAGAAAAATCTTACAACTTCGAGATATTATCGATTCTTTTGTATGTTGCATCCAGTTGCACCATTAAATGATACTGCCATAATTTGCATTTCCGCTCGTCACTTTAATTAACGAACGCTTCTTGCACCTTTCCATCACCAAGGGAATGCAAATTAAAAGATGTTTTGAGACAAGAATATACTTCCAGTTATTAGCATGTATCCATTAACGTATTAGTCTATTAAGTCGAGGTGATTCCCCGGGTTGACCATTAATTAACTTTGTAATTAGCATCTGATTCAGAATCGTATTTTTTTCTATCTTTTCTACCTTTTTTTCTACCTAGCAAAAATCTCAATTTATCGTAAAACGGATTCAATACAAGTTTATATGAAAATAAATTACTAAAATTTTGAAAGTATAAATAAAATCTATGGATTTTTCGTTTTCTTCTTTCTTTCTTTAATTAAATACGAATCGATCAAAATTTATTTCTCACAATTAACTTTTCTCTAATTTGTTCATTTATTGCGCAGTCGTCCTTACGATTGCTAGATCCGGATTCTCCGGATAAATATTTTACATACCTACGAGAATCATGGGGCATCCCCACGAGGGCATTAAACGGATGCTCGCTTGTCGATCGTAAGCTGTAATTTTTAAAGACGAACGGACCGGCCCACCTTGAGCAGGCCCATCGTCACCGTCGACATCGGTGCGTGCTTCTCCGTCTTGGCTGATTTGCGAAAAGGCGGAGGAATGGCGCGTTGGTGATGTAGCACAAAAAGACATATATCTTTCTTCGCACGGAGAAGAATCATTGACCGCGGTTTCTCCAGTCAAGGTCAGGCATTTTTTTTTCCCCTCACCTCGAGTGGATCTACAATAATCTTCGAGAAAGATGCTTCATTTTATCTTTATTATCACGCGTTTTCCAAATGCACGTAGAAACAAATGAAACAGGGATATTTTCTTTTTTATGTAAATATGTGCTTATAACAACTACAGACGTATCTGAGTTTCATCATTAATTATGTCTAGCATATTTATCTTTAACATAGAGTTATGTGACATAATTAAATTTATTTTAGATATATCTTGTTCACTAATAATAATGATTTACTTTTATTGAATTACTCTTGTTTCTTCCAAAACTATACATTTATTACTTAGTATACTTACAAATTACCTATTAATTACTTATTATTACATGAGGTAACTAGCGGATGTGTGCAAATACTGTGTGATGTATAGAATTATCGATAATATAATGTAGCATTTACACATATGCACATGTTCTAATATAAAATTTGAATATTATTTTTTCAATGTAATTAGCCTTTATATAAAAAAAAATCCGTAAATCTTACTTCAATACAGTCTTCAAATACATTATATTATGTATTAAAACAAATTAAAATAATTAGAGTAACATAAATTAAAAAAAATATCGAAAAAATATAGTTATATAGAGTTTTTAAATCTTATTCTATGAACTTATACTATGAACTAATATGTTTAACATATTTTTAAAATATGTTAAAAACGTATTACATTTTTTAAACCTACCTTATATACTGCCTTATATAATCTTTCTTAAAACACGCCATTTAAATGTTTAATGTTGTTCTAATCAGTATCCAATCTGTCAAGTATATACTATATTTTGTTTTAAAATCATCTATACTGTAAATATAACGTTACAAGTTAAAGTTTTTTTAAGTATATATATAAAAAGAATAGGAATAATATACATATGAAGTATTCAAATAATAATGAATCAGATGTATATTCCCGTAAATGTAATCAAAGAAATTCGTTTATCAAATTTTCCAAAGTTGTAAGTGTATAAAAAAATTTTTGCCGACGCTGTTCGACAGAATTGAATTAGTATAAATTATGTTTTTCAATTATAATAATTAATCCAGACATCTTTCAATATGCTCCATTAAAGCTGTCAAGCCGTGATATGGCTTCGCACATTTTGGACAATTTGTTATAACATTACTCTGTAATTAAATTAAAATATATTAGTCTAGATATTCTAACACAATTGTTCTTACCTTAGTATTTACTTACAGTCATAACATAACTAGTATTCGGTATCGTATTGTGCAATATTACATTACATAAGAAGCAAATTAAATTAATCCTTTAAAAAAAAAAGAAAAAATAGAGCTATGACAAATGACATTTTAATAGATTTTCCATTTAATATACTATATACAATGTAATTGTATGCTTTGTGTATAAGTAATAAATAAAAGTAATAAATAATTGTGTGATATATGATTGCATTTTAATAGAATAATGTAATTAAATATAAGATAAAAAAAATTAAGAGATGAGGAAATTAATAACTATCTATTAAAATCTGGCTCTATTGAAATTTCCAATTGTTAAGTTAGCACAGGAACATATTATATATGCATATTTAATTTTTTAACTACAAAGCTTATTGGACTTTAGTCAATCTTGGAAAAATCACTAATGTTAAATTGATCCTGAGTTATTATTTATCTATGGCTTAACATGATATTTATTCTTCAAAGTAAGGAATCATTTTTTAAACTATAAATGGAGTATTATTTATAACAAGTTAAAATTCAATTTTTAAGTATGCTTACTAATAAACTAGCTTATTAATAAACTAGCAGAAATATTCAAAATCTATGTTAAATCATGTGTAGAATGATTCCTTAATTGCTTTAAACAATAAATATAGCAAGCTACAGAGCTTTTCTATATATTAACTTAACATAGTATAATATTAAAGCATACATAACATCACTAAAGAGATACTCAAAAGAGAAAAAGAAACAGAAAAAGAAGAATCCAACATTAAAAGAACGATCAGCAATGCCAACTGTACGACGCTACATACAAAATTGTACAGAATTATAATAAAATACTACAATAGAGAAATAGAACTAATTTAAATGTCTATTATATAAATAGAATATGAAAAGTCAATTTGAAAAAAGAAGTTTAAAAATTTGAATGAAAATATTAATTAATCATAGCTTCACTGGAAGTAAAATTAAATAATCCGATAATCCGATTAGTTGATGGCTTTGCTCGTGTAGTGGCATTGCTGCTTTTTCTAGGTCTATTGCATTTGTTACTGTCCTAGTGACAATAAAGAATAATAAGTCAAGTCAATTTCTATTTTTATATAAAAATATTATAGCACACATAATTCAAAATTACTTACTGAATATTCAGATTCGTTTCTGACAATAGAACTAGTAGTCTGCTCGGATTTTTGTAATTGTTTGTTGAATTTTATTTGCTTCTGCAATTCCATATCCAATTTACTTTTCTCTTCTAATAAGGATTCTTTAAGTCTTTTCTCATATTGGAAGTCTTCTTCGTATAGTGTTAATTGTGATCTTAATAGATTAATTTCTTCTATCTAGAAAAAAAATATAAAAAAAATATAAAAATATTATAAAATATAAAATTTTACACATACACATATATATTTTTTCACCATATCTAGGTTTTATATTTTACATTAATTTATATTATTTACACAAATCAAAATAAAAAAGTTTACTCACACTTTGTGCAAGTTGTTCCATTACTTCTTTAAATTCAATATTCTTCTTTTCAATTTCCTGTTGCAAATTATACACCTTCTCTAGCAATTCTTCACAGCTAAGTTGCAAAAGTTTTTTCTCTTGTTGCAGAACTTTCTCACAATTTTCATATAACTGACTCTGATGATCGAGTGACATTTTCTCTTCGTTCAGACTGATTTTCTCTTGCGTTATAAGTTTCTTTTCATCATACAGCGACAGGCGTTCCATATCCAAGTCTTTTTTCTGACTTTCAAATAATTTTTTTTCTTTTTCAAGATTATTCTTCTCTTGATTCAAAATTCTTTTTTCCTCTTCAAGCTCTTGCTTAATCTGTTCTAATTCCTCTAATTTCTGCAAGTTCTCGCGAGCGTTATTTTCTTTTATAACATTCAATTTCGTATTTTCATCGATTATTATTTCTAATTCATATAAAATAGAATTATAATCTGAGAATATTTTCTGAAATTGATTTTGCGATTTAACCAGAGTCTGTCTATCTGAGATAATTTTCACTTGCTCGTCAGTTAATTGTTTGCAGCATTGACATAATTTTTCTCCATATTGATTAAACTGCACTTTCGAGTTATCATTATCAAGTATCATAAGTATATCTGTAATATCCTTAAAACTTTTCTCTATGGTAGCAAAGCGTTCTATTTGTTGTACATAACATTTAGTTAATTCTTGTAATATATCATTATATTGCTTTATATTTTGTACAAATTTTTGACGATTTAAACTGGATGATGACGATGTTGACATTTCATGTAGTTGAATTGGAGTGAGAGCCTATAAAATATAAAAGTAAAGTTATTTATTCTACAAATTCAGTTATCTAAAATATTTTTAACGAATATAATTCTTTATAAATACATACACATTGCAGCTTCTCTTCAAGCAAAGCAATGGACTCTTTTAAATGTTTGATTTCTTCATCCTTTGCTTCTAAACTTTTTTGATTTTCAATTTTTAAAGAAGTTTGGCTATCAGTACAACTTAACGATTGCATTGCTGATTCTAATTCTTTTTCCGTTTTTAATTCTTCTATTTTATTTTGTAGTGCTTTTTCAGCAAATTTTTCGGATATTATACATGTTATATAATGTTTACATTCTTCAAGATCCATTTTTGACATTGCAGTCTTGAGTTGTGGGGTAATTTGCTGAAGTTCTGTTTGAGCACTACAAACATTAGTGATATCCAACTGAGGAATAGTGCCAATTGTCTGTAAAAAATTCCAAAAGTAAAATATTGTATGTGTTTGTAAAATTAATTATATTTCTTTTATACCTCAATATTTATTTTATACCTCAAATCCCATGCTTTCAGTATGCTGCAAATGTGACAGTTTAGTTTTTAGTTCAGCATTTTCCTTCTTAAGATGATTAATAAGCTCTCTAGTTTCCGCAAACTTTTTTTTATGGTTTTCATGAACCTTCATCACTTCCTCCTGCCACATTGCCAAGGTACTAAATTGTTCTTTCATGGATAAAGTATTTTGTTTTAAGGTTTCTTTTAATTTCACATTTTCTTGCAACATATCACTCAATTTCTTTTGCATCTCATCTGTGCTTAATGATAAAACCATGGATGTATAATCCTATAAGAAAATATATTATTTTTGCTTTTTATAACATAAATTTAAATAAAATTAAATAAAATAAAGTAGGATTGTAATATACATACAATTGACATGCTTTTTTGTTGAATGTCAACATATGACGCTAATACAGAAGCCTGAGCTGCTTCTACAGAATCTTTACCTAATACTACAAACGATAAACTATCTTCGTCATTAATATCAAAGTTATTTGTTGTCGTTGAATTTAACACTGTGGAAACAGGCTCGTCTAACTTAAATAAAGGTTTACTGTTCAGTTTACTGCTTATAATAGATGTTTGATCCTCTTTGGAGATTTCATGTTGCATTGAATCCATATTTTGATCGGGTATCTTCAATCAAGATTCCTAATAAAGCCTGAATAAGAATTGATAACAATATAATATGATCGATGAGTCAGTATTAAAATCTTTTTATGTCATCAATATTATTGAAAACAAAATTATATTATAAGCAATAATAAATCTATATCAGTTACACACACACACACACACATCAATATAATAAATATTTTTATATTTTTTACTCTATATTTATGTATCTTTGTGTAATAGATGGAATACACTAATCTGTCAATCGTCCAAAGTTATTAAAATTTTTTCTAAAAAAACCCCGATTTATATTAAGATGAAATATTAAGACCAGGCAATAAAAAATATATTGAATTTTACTAAAATTTGCATAAAAACCGCGTTAATTACATTCAACGTTTACTTACGCTTATTTCAAATTAACTACGACTGCATCTGCGATTATATCAGCACAATCTTTGTTTATGTCGATTTGACATATTTTATCAATTTATCAGCGATGCGTAATCTTGCAAATATCTATTCATTATAACATTGATTGTAACCATGTAATCGAAGTAAAAAGAAAAAATAAAATTTTGTACATATATTTTGCATTTTATCAACGTAATATCGTGACTAGGCCCAGTTTAATTATAATTACGGACGAACAATTAAGTAATATGATGTAAAAAATTAAATTTAAACTAAATTTAACTTACCGTGTGACAAAAATATCTTCAGTTGCGTGTCTGATTGTGAAAGAGAGACAGAGAAAATGCGTCTCTTTTTTGTTCGTCCTAACCACAATTTCTATGTTTTGCATCTTGCCTCTTTCTTGCTCCGATATGCTATCTATTTCACTTCACGTGCATAAAGTGCAAGAAGTGCAGATAGATTGAAACAGAATTTCCTTTGAATAAAAATTAACATATCATTAACCGATTTTCCTTCTATAAATATAGTTTCCTGTAAATGCTTACGTCGATGAAATACAATATGTGATTTTATATTTTATTTTATATATTCAATTATAAACGATTATAAATGATTATAAATGATTTCTTCATTATTGACAAGTGATAATTATCGATCATTGATAATAAAGAAGTAACGGAGAAATTATTGCCTGCAATTTGTCAAAAGTATTAAATCGATACTCGAATGTATGTACCTTGAATGTAAATCCTTTTGAAAGTCTTGAATTTATTGTGTGATACCTGACGAAACGTAGTAAGTGGCTCTTTTATCGCGAGCAACTTGTCATTATATAATTTTATTTTTGCTTTGATAAATATCCATCACTTTGCATCCATCACTTTGCATATCCATCACGTTTACACATTGTTGTTAATAATATAGTGAGAATTAATTCGTTGAACTTATTAATTTTTCTAAATTTCTCTAAAGAAAAGTTAAATTTAAATTTACTTCCCTCAAAGAAAGTAATTTTAATTTTTCATAATTATTTCAATTTTTCAAATTTTTCTAAAGATAAAAAATTCTTCTTAAAAATAATTTTATTGTTGATTCATGATTTTAATTATAAATATATGAAATATACGAATATATATACACAATCATAGCGATATAATATATATTTTAAAAATATTTTAGAAAAAAATATATAGGTGAGATGTGAGAGTGACATATATTTAGAAGATATAATTTATTTCACGACATGAATACAATATCGTGCATAATACGTAGTCGTGTTTTTCTAAATTTACATTCATCATAACGATCAATTCGCGCAAAGTTTCGAATTCATGCGAAGAATACAGACATTTCTTTATACGCATCGCGCAGAATGCAGTATGATAACGTCGTGATAATGTTTCGGAGAGAAAAAAAAAAAGAAAAAAAATAAATATATACATTATAGCAACTATATATGTATATAATACTATATATATGTATGCTGTAGATAGAAGATGTAAATTCATTGATCAACAATGAGTCGAAAATATAATCTCTGAGATCTTAAAAATAATATATCTCTCTCATTCTCTTATATACCCTTATTGCGCTACGTGACGGGCAGCTAATAGCTTGACATTATGCAAATACATTATTTGTACATTTTTGCTTACATGACTTTACGTAGAGTGCGATATATGTATAGAGCACTCGATAATTATACGTATACATTTATCTTGACTGACACACGAGTGCGAATTAAATATTTCATTTACCAGAATATCAAATGATATTAAATATCAACATTATTTTCATTTGTACTAGAAGTTTGATATATATAATTTGCATATCGATTAACTTTAATCAGATATCTTGTGTATGATCCATTATTACTTACATATTAAACAAAGGGTATTTAAAAACTGTTGAATATATATTTGATTGTCAAAAATCATCGTTCTAAAAGTGCCTGTCATGAAAATATATATAAATTGTACCGATGCAGACACTAATAAAAATACGATTTTATGCACAGATAATTGACGAGAATTTTCATGTATTTTCCTCGTCGCACTTCGTCTTGTCGATAGTTTAATCTCTTGATAGGATATTAAAGAAAAGAGATTCCTACGTGCATTTAAACAGGTGCCATATTAGCGATATTATTCAAGTTGCCTCTCAACAAGAACTTTTTATCTATCGTACGCTATAGATTATATATACTTTATAACGATTTTAAACAAGCGCGATCTGTCAAATAACTTCTTTTACATCCACATATGTATATCTACACTAGTATTCTAACTCGAATAAATCATAACGCATATCATGCGCGTATCATTGTACTTTCAAAGTTTTATTATTTATTTTATGCAGCACATGCATCAAGTACTATTCACTAAAGCCAAATCTTAAACGTATATGGTCGCATTGCAAATGCTAAACAGCATTTGTAATGAAAATCGTTACGTAATCCGCTATTTTGCGAATATACACGTGAATCATACGTTGAAGATTATACATACGCAGATATCACGCACAAATTTCTTGATATATTTTTGTTTCATGTATTTTAAAATCACGAGTCGGCAATTTTATTTCGACGCTTAAGTAAATTTACGAATATGTAGAGTAAGAGTTTGCACAAGACATAATTTTCAGCAATTATACCAGAAAAAGCAATTTTCTGGTTCTAGAATCTGATAAAGACACGTGACAAACGCTACATTATACGTCGAAAAGAAAAACAATTACAAGATTAACTTGCACGATTTTCTCGAAAGATAAATATACGAATATATAGAGAGAGAAAGAGAGAGAGAAAGAGAGAGAGAAAGAGAGAGAGAAAGAGAAAAAGAATTAAATCTAAATACCTTTGTGGTCACGCAAACCTTAAATTTTAGCGAATTTTTTCCTTTAACGTTACGTGCAACATTATAACGCGCGACTCAGATCAATTCCTCTCCTGCGAGTCGTTCGTTTATCGTTGCAAAATTATGTTTTGAGGTAGACAGGTATATTCTCCAATAGCTTTTTATAGCTTCGCGAGTAACGCTAAACCGAAGAATAAACACTTTCACCGACGCAAAAAATATCGCATTACTTTTTTAATCCTATACCTTAGTAGACCACAAATACGGTTCAGAATATTTGATCTGTGAAACTCTTTGAAAAACTTCTGAAATCTGATTTACTTCTCGATCCAGGCTACAATTGAAAATTATATTTATTAAATGTTTCACATATATATATCGCGCAATTACATTTAAAAAAATCAGGCAAAAACAGATTTGAAAAACAAGATATGCGACTATTAATTACTGGTGTACTTACAATGTCCAAGATGTCGAAAATATATAAATAACATCATTCGTTAGCGATGCTAATAAACATTTAATTATTGAATCTATGATAAGATGTATGGGGAAAACTGTGTATGTATTAGGTTCGAGTAGCATATCAAATATAAATTTTGCACGTCGTTAGTTTCCAATTTATAGTCATGTGTTTCTGCATATTTTTTGTAAAAATAATATTTTAGTCCGTTATTTAGCGCTTGAACATTATATATCTTTTGCTACACTAAAAAATTATATATATGTATATATCGATTCTAATTTATCTTTGATATTATACAACGCAATTTTTTAACATTACTATACTGTAACAATACCATATCGATGCCAACGGATACCGCTCTTACACATATTTTGTTTTCAAACATCTAAAATATACCTTACCTTTGCATTTCGCACAGATACTGCCTTTGTACCTATTTCTCACCCCTGAGTTGGAAAACATTCAAGACACGAACATGATTTCCAAACAAAAAGAAAAGATACATTCCTATTTTCTCGATCATACATCTATTATGGTTACATCCAAATTATTTATATTAATAAAATTTGCGTGCAGATTTTAAATAAATAGCAACAATGAAGCACACAAACGGTATTATATAAGAATACCATAATAATGTACACAATCAAAATTTTTAAATACACATGATCCAATAAATATGTATACGATTCTCATTTGTTTCGTCGAGCAACGATAAAATTATTATAATGTCATACAATACTGTGATTACTCTTAATCATCAATACCTACTACTTTTCACACGATCAGTAATATCCGTTTGTATCAGTAATGGCTGCCGCATCATCTACGCGGCACTTTAAATAATCTATTTCGTGACTTATACGAGAGGCGGATCCTTTTGTTGATCCATCTCTTCAATGGTTATGTAGAGACCCTCCTCTTCATACGTTGACTCGTGTTTTGCCAATACTTTCAGCAGTGGACGCAGCTTCATCCACCATTGATACGTCGGAATACGATGTCTAGCAAATTTTTATTATTGTATTACATAAGAAATAAGCGATTCGTTGAAAAACTCGAAATAGAATACGTACTCAAAATCCGTAACTTCGATAAGTTCCGTGAATGGCGTATATCTATACTGGCGTCTAATAATACCAAGCATCACTGCGCTGTCAGCTGCTGTAGTGACCGTTTTACCATCGAGGCTAGTACATTTTCTCAGCTGATCGCTGAACCATTCAACTGCCTTAGCACCCATCTTCGTTCCTAAATTACGGTCAAAAGGAGTCGGCGAGCCACCTTGTTGCATATGACCTGAAAAAAATATAAAAAGATAATAATAATAAAATATTTAATTTTATATTATAAAAATTATGTATCTTAATATTCGAAATATTCCGAAATCAATTAAAAGGAATAAAAGAAAACACATACCGAGTATGTTGCTTCTACAACTGAATAAACCTTTTCCTTCCTCGCTAAAAAGTCTGAATATAAACTCTGTATTATAATTTCCATTGGCGTTTTCGTTTCTGATAATAAGGCCTCTCTCGACACCCTCTGACATCTTCGCGGCCATCGCAATAACATCTTGATTTAAGTCTTTAATATTAAACTTCTCTTCATAAATATAAGCCGCATCGGCACCACCGGCTAAGCCGGCGACGGTCGCTAGATATCCACAAAAACCACCCATAGTCTCGATAATGAATACACGGCGTTTGGTACCTTGCGCCGATTGTCGAATGCGATCACAGATCTGTCAAAAAATAAAACAATATTAATAGTATTATATAATTGAATAGTTTTATATAATTGATTTTTTAAGTATCGGATGTACACAAGTATATTGCAGAGAACTTACTTCTGTAATTTCATTCAAAGCTGTATCACAACCCAATGAAAATTCAGTGCCTGGTACATTGTTGCTAATGGTTGCGGGAATCATAGCGATAGGAATTCTAAACTCCTCATATTTATCCCTCGCTTTGAAAAATGTAAGACAGGTCTGATAACCCTGAAAATAAAAAAATACATGTTTTATCGATGCTGATCTCTTGATCCAGAATCGAACTGAACGATGCAACGTTCGGAACAATTCGCGTTACCTCGAATCCGCCTATGATGAGCAGCGCCTGTATTCCAAATTCTTTCAATTTTTGAGCGATTGCGGGTAACTGATCCTCCTGGGGCGGTGTGCGCTTCGTTCCTAATTTCGCACCGCCCTCCGAGACCCAACCGGTGACAGATGGCCAATCCATCAATTTTAATCTACCAGCTATAAGACCCAACACTCCATCACAGATACCGTATACCTATAACATATTGTAATATATATTTGAAGAATTGAAAACGCAATAAAAGTAGATAGAATTGTGGATTTATCAATAATATGTACTGCACCTTATCACCTCGATAGATACAATTCCTTACGAAAGAACGAACCGCTGCGTTCATACCACAGGATGGTGATCCTATGTGCATGACTCCTACTGTATAATGATCCTGTAACAAAATCGCAGATTATTAACGAGATGAAAATAGATAAAATATGATACGTCATGCAGCGTGCACGAAACGAAAACTGCACTAAACGACTGTTCTTAAGATATATAACATTGCACATTAAATAGCATCTAAGGCTGTCGCTGCATCTGTCTATTGGAGCGATTGAAATGATTTCTAATACAAGGTTTACATTCTCCATTTCAAAGAAGGGTTATGTGTTAACTCACTTGTCCACATAAAGTGTATTGCTAAGGAAAGGAAAAAGGTGAGTTAGGGAGATTGCATACACATTGACATTATATATGATCTGCGGTTCTATAGACTCTTAATCTGATTTACCTTTGATAATGCGTGGCCATTAACGTCCTGAAGCAATATCAAATAACATATGTAATACTTTATTATTATTATTCATTATTATTTTACATGTTAAAAACCCAACACATTTTCTTATGGACATATCTCTCTTTAAACGTTTAAGATATTAAAATATAAAAATTCTACGTTAATACTTTCAGCATGCTATATAGTTTTTAGATCAGAATATTTAGAATATAAACTTAGGCGAAAAATTGTACCTTGATTGCACTATGATCTAAATCCGGAGCTTTCAAACGAGTCAGCATTTTGTAAGTTTCCAAATTACGTTCAAAACCTCTGTATGAAAAAACAAATAGATTTACACACATTCATCGGTATATTTTTTACATTGATACACGTTTTTTAGAGATACTCACTTTCCTCGAAGTTGGACAGCAAGATCCCAATTTTTATTGGCCATAGCCTGCGCCACAGCCTTTGTACGACGAACACATTCCATGAGTGGTAATCTCACAGCTTGGTTACCGTCCAATGTGACGACGCACGCTTCTGTATCGGGTGTTGCTTCCACTAAAGCCATTACAGCTTCAGCTCCCATTCGACATCCCTGTAACACACAGATTTATTTTAGAGAGGGTATATCTCATTTAAAAATATATAAGTATTATAACACACACGCACACATACACTCTATTTCACGCAATATTAAAAATTCTAAATTATAGAATCTTACTAAAACTCTATCAAAGGCTGAAGGATTGCCACCTCTTTGTACATGCCCCAAAACAGTAATCCTTGTATCCTGCTGTAGTTTTTCTACGACTACTTTATGGACCTTTTCAGCTGTAATCGGATCGCCGTTTCTATCAACGGCACCTTCAGCCACGATAATAATGTTAAGTCGTTGACCAGTGAGTCTTTCCTGAAAAGAAAATTGCATATGAGAAAATCTTACAATTAAGATTTTGTTTTAATACATGTAAAAGCATAAGCTATATAAAAAAAATTGAAGATTGAAGCTAATTAAAGACTATAGCATAATATGCAGATGCAGTGGATGATGATATATTAATAATACAGAGAAAATATTTGTATAATTCTGAAAATTCTTGTCTTCTTTCTTTGATTTCACAATACTTTGTATATAAATATATTATATAATACGTAGTGCATATATACACATAGCATTAAAAAGATGTTACAAGTTTAGTATAGCATGCATTTACAGAGTAATATAACATTATTTCTCTTATATTAAGTGCAAAATGTCCTAAAGAAAGCATATTAAAAATAATTATAACCAAGAATAATATTGAACAGAAAGAAAAACAAGTATTAAAATACAATTGTAACAGAACTTGCAATTGCTTAAAGAAATAGAGTATAAATTACAAGAAGCAAATGCGCTGTTAATTTTGCAGGTTGATTGAGAGTCAGGAAATATAAATAAATATACTTGTTTTAAAAAATTAAAAAAAAAAAAAATAAATTATCGAACCTGCAATAATTTTTTGCACAGCTTGTTGGGCCACTCCTGCTCGGGTGGCCATTCTGGGATGAAAACATAATCAGCTTCGCAACATATAGCTGTCACCAGAGCCAGATAACTGTAATGATATTGTAAACCTAACTAAAATTCTATCTCAATACAATATTTAAAAATATCATATAAAAATAATACTGTACATGTCATTAATTATTTAATATATTTATAAATTTGTAAAGCTGTGCTCGCCTGAGATATAAATATAGTAATCAATATATTTATGATAGCAATAAGTTTTTGAATAATCTAAGTAATGATAAGAATGATTAGGGGAAAATTTTACATGTACAAAAATGTAATCTGGCTGTAATCGAGCATTTCAAAGAAATAATATTGCATTTCAAAGTGCAAAAATAAATGTGGCGGATTTTTTTACATGTTTGTATAATTTCGGATATACATTGATATATATTGAAGTAACGACTGATTGAGAAACGTGCCTGTTGCACAGCTTGACAAAGCTCCTCGATCCAGTCACCACTTGTCGGAGATTCAGGAATAAAGGAATAGGTAGCTTCTGTAGATATACTTGACGCTAATGTCAGATACCTAAAAGACTCTGTCATCTAATTATCTTCAGTAGCAATTGAAGACATATAACTCTCTATGTAGCAATATATATTTAATTCTATATTAATTGATGCGCGACAATAAAATGTGAGTAAATCTCTCGTTTGCATTCCTCTTTATGTCATTATTTAGAAGAGGAATATAACATTTAGAATATCGTATACGATTGAGTATTAATTCAGAACACTTAGCAGTCTAAAAATTGACATGTACATAAAAAATCACTCTTTATATTTGATTGAGTTAGTAAACATTAGCAATGCAACTTAACAATTCTGTAAAATTTCGAAAAATCTATTACACGTGCCTGCTCCAATTTTCTACATAATTTTTCAGGCCAATCGACTGGAGGCGGACATTCTGGGAAGAAAACATAGTCGGCCTCCGCAGCTAAAGCGCCCACGATAGCCAGATACCTAGCCGAAAGTAGCTTATTTATCTATATCTTATTACATTTCGGTGCAATAACGATATAGATAATTTTGTGTAACTATAACCCATTATTGAAATACATTGCAAATTATCTTTTTACATTTTCGGAAACTAGTATCTGCTCAATAATATATTTAAATTATTTAACGTTAATAAAACTATTCTCTCAATAATAAAATAGAGATACACTTACCCACAATGACGACCCATAACTTCCATTATAAATGTTCTTTGATGAGAATAAGCTGTGCTAACTATAGCATCTATACTTTCTATAATACGGTGCAACGCGGAATCAGTACCAATTGTCATATCCGTGCCACAGAAATCGTTATCAATGGAACCTACTAATCCGACAATGTGTAATTGTTTGCATTTCTCGCTTTGTTCGACAGTTATATCTCCTACAAATAAAAAATAACGTTAGGTTTCAATATATGCGTGATGCATTATGAACAATTCTTTCTCTATTTACCAGACGCAACGAGTTCTTTTAAAAGCTCGGGCCATTCTTCTCTAAAGAGATCGGCACCTGTAAGAGAACCATCTCCACCGATCACAACTAGATTGGTTATACCCAGATTAACTAAGTTCTTGGCAGCTTTTCGACGACCAGGACGCTCTCTGAATTCTTGACTTCGGGCAGAACCTATCACCGTACCGCCCTAAAGAAAAGATGCAATACATTAATAACGCGTATGGAGGAATGTATGATGCAACACTCTGTAATATGTACCTTGTGGATGATGCAAGACACGGCCGACCATGTAGCTTCTTCGATGTCCTTTCCGCCGTCCACCATACCTTGGTAGCCTTCTCTGATAAAGTACACCCTGCATCCAAGATAAATACCCATCCTTACAACCGCTCGTACAGCGGCATTCATTCCTACAAAACAATAAAATTTATATAATATATATATTTGAGAATAATTACATTTATTTCAATTTAAGGTACAATTTATTCGATTACCCTGAGAGTCGCCACCGCTGGTGAACACGGCAATGCTCTTGCCCTTGTGGCTCCCAGGTTTTATAAACTTTTGAGCTGGCGTCTCTTCAGCCATGACTGTATCGCAGTATTCCTTATAACTCTGTAATAAGAAAAAATTGCGCAAAGTTAATATCAATATTTTTGAGAAATTAGAATTTTTCATTTTCTTTCAGAGACACGATAATGTAATTTCTCCGCTTGATTAACGTTTCTTTTACATTGAACAGAGACGCAAGAAGAAAATTAACAAGTTTTAAAGAAAAATAAAGAGTTTCGCAACTTTTCGTCTCATGAGCTGTGAAAAACGCAGGCTTCTAGCATATTCTTCCTCGAGCGTGTCAAATTTTATCTCGAATGAAGAGCCAATTGGTAAAAGTTCAACCGATTCAAACTTCCTCCAGAACATCTATTTAAAATTAAATTTTTCAATAAAACTATTTTACGTAAATAAAAAAAATTAATAAGGAAAAGAAAAAAAGAAAAAAATTATATACATCATTACATTATCAAGCATAAGCTTGCCTTAGGAAATATCATAGAAAGTCTTAAATTTTGCATGCTAATCCTGCTTATTTTATCAGTGTCGACTTTCTTCAATACTTCAACAGCGATAGATTTTTCTGAAGGATCCCTAGATGTAGTGCATCGCATTGAGGATATAGTTTTGATAGAATCGATCGAACTTTTCCGTGCATCTACTTTCTGCATTTCTGCATTTCTGCTTTCATGTGTATCCGAAGCATCATCGCTATCACTTCCCGCGCTTCCTGAATAATTTTCATTCGCGCAGCGACACTGAATAATTCTGTAATTTTTAGACATTTTTCTTCGCCAAATAAATTTGTCAGCTATTAGAATAATTTTTACATCAATCAATCTAAATTTTAACCTTATTTCAACAAAACTAGACTATATATACATATCACAGCTGTTCCAAATTCATATCATTATAAAAGAAAACAATGAAGTACACCGCAAAATATCTCCTCATAACTTTTTTAAATACTTAAATTATTATTCGATAAATTAATTTCTTTAGAAATTTATTATCCTCCATGTATTCCTCAATCTTTTACATATTAATAAAATAGATACGTTGAAAAGAGTGTTTCAATCGGAAATTTAAGATCGCTCACAATTCGATTAAATTGAAAATTCACGCAAAGTTTTGTCGAAAACAACACGCGAGGATAATATACGATGTGGAAAAATTATTCAAGCATCATATAGTTTCTTTAGCCGTTGCGACACGGGAGCCTTCGCGTCTTAAAATTAAATGACATGTGCGCGAGTGAAATCTGGCCGCGTCTCAAAAAATGCGAGGAAGCGTCAACAATTCGGAGCCAGGCTTTGTAACATACAGTAACAAAGTTAGTTTCGTCGAATCGCAAACATCTATTTTTCCACGGCGACACCTCGGTGGGTCGCCGGTGACGAGATGTTCCAATTTACGCTACGTGACGATGTACACGTGAGTGGACCTCGTAACTTTTCGCGGTCCCTCCGCGAAAAAATCGCGTCGTGCGATCGAACAGAAAAAAACCGAGAGAGCAAATCTCGATGTGCATACGTTTTTCCGACCTCTCATTCATAGTTTCCACCTGCAAGAGACGAGCGTGATAAAGCATGCAGCGTGCGCGCGAAAGATGTGATTGCAGCTGCATCTTCTCGCGCGCGCGCGAAGAGATGTCACGATATATACACACACATACTCCGTATATGAAGAATACAATAATTGATGATGATTAATTTTTTTTATATAACTCTCTTGGTTAAACGACGCGGAAACCTTTAGAACGAGGAGCGAGAGAATCGATCGTTAGAAACTACAGCTGCTATCCGTATATAATAATAATTTTATATGTTTGTCGTGCTTGTGCGATATCGTTATTATTCGTCGAATTAAAAGTCCATGCTATTTGCAGAACGTCATGAGAATCCTCTAGTCTCTCCCAATCGTTCCCAGAGGAGTTCGAGTTCTTAGGTTAACCTAAACGCACCTCTTCGATCCACCTAAGGGAGATTGTTTAAATAAATGTCATTCAACTAGGTGGGCGAAAATATCGGCCAAATATAACGTGAATCAATTTCGAAGGGACGCTGTCGCGGGACGCGCTTCGACGGATCAATTGACAGTCGCGTGCAGGTGACAGGCGAGAATGGGCGTCGCGCGCTCGAAAATGACGATTGATCGATGAGCGCGATCGACGACGGGCGGCTCGAGAGACTCACCAGCAAAAAATGTGACTGACAATCGTGACGACGACGACGACGAGCACGACGTTCCTCCGCTGCCGATCAACACCGACGTTCCTCTGACCGACGTCGGCCGCCACTACCACGACGTTTGGCCGACTGAAGGTGACCTTTGGGCTGGCCCACTTGCCATCCCCCTCGTCTCGCTTTTATCACCCGCTGTTCGGGACCAATCGCGCGATTCGAAGTCGCCCGAGTGGGACATCGATGCATTGCGCGGAAGATTCGAAAAATGGAACGTCCGTCCGGAAGACTCGTCAAAGTTAAATTTCAGAAACGCGGAAATAATCGGCAAAATTATATTGTAAAAAATGATAAAAAAATGTTTGAAAGATTTTTTTCTAAATTTTGTATCAGATTTACCTTTTGACGTATTTCCCTCTGAGAATCGTAAAGTTGCCAGGTGAACGATGAAGATTCTTGTCGTTCCATCGAAGAATCCATGGTATTTTTAACTCTATGCGAACGACAGCTTCGATATGTCTCAAAAATCAATGCGTCCTCGAAGCGTATCGACTGCGTACAAGTTGAGATTAATAAAGACTGAGAATTTTGTAAGCTGTGAAATATACTTCGATAATCGATAAACTGATATCGTGATAAGACGAAATGCAATCGACCAATGTTGATAGCAGAATTTTAGCTGCTGGACTATAACGAAAAATATTTAAATTAAAAATATTTAAAAATATAACGAAAAACAATTAAGACAAAGAAATAAAATCTCTCTTATTTTGTTTTTTCTTTTAATCTTTTATTCATTTAAAGAAAAGATTAACTTACCTGATGATAATCCGTTAATCAGGATAAAATCAAATTTAAAGATCCACACGAACATATGATTCAAAGGTATTTTATTCACAATCTTTAAAGATAATCATTTTCCCCTCGTTTATATCATTATTAAAAATAATTTCTTCTTTTAATAATTTTATAATTATTCGATTATAAGCTGCCCTTGACGTGCACAAGAAAGAGATGTACGCAGCACTTTTTAATTTCGTTTCAGCTGATTGTCGTCGACGTTCTTCTTCGAAGTGATGGTTTCATGTGACAAAACAGAATGCAGTTTGTATTTCGAGGCTGATATACCTTTTAACTAACGGATTGTTTGAGATTTTTAACTTCTTTTCAATCGAAGAATCTCCCTTAGCTAAAAAACTTTGAAAAAGAATATCTAAAATATCACAAAAATGTGACCCTTAAGAACTTTGATAAATTAACATAAAAAAGCTCGAATCTCATGCATCTTCCACGACTTGACGTGATGGCTGACTGAAAGATACAATGCAATATGCTAATATGTTTATTGACGAAAAACATATGACTATTTGACGTAGTCTGATTCTGAGCAAAGTCTAACAGCCAAGGATCTTTACTTTGTCATTGAGCAAGATTTATGAACGCTGCAAATGTATACTTTATTTACAATTCATTAAACAATGAGAAATGTTCGTCTTTCTCTTAATTTTTCAAGAGATTGAAAACTCGTTACTGGATATATATCTTCTTACGCAATAAAAATCAGTATGTCTTTATTTTAATCATGCAAAGTGTACCGTGATGATGCAATGTAACACGAGGAATGAAGAATGTAAAATCATTTAATATATCCAGGAAAATAATTGTCAGTATCAGTTTCAATAGAGAAAACACTTTCGAGGTTAATGATATTCTTCGGATAAATAAATCTTGCGAATATTAAGAACGTTAAATATCTTTAAATATTTGTTTTAAATTGCTAAATATTTTTGATTTAATATTCAGAAAAATCACTTATTGTCAGTATCGAGTAAATTATCGATGAAATTTATATGTTAAATAAAAGAATGCGGGCGTGTGCGGGTTGATTCTATTTCTAAAAAAATTGCATTTCTTCTATTTCTACATCGATGCAGCGATTGATGCAGGTGAAATGATTGCACCGTTTCATCGCTTTTACAGCTTTATTTACAAATACCACCCCGCCAAATCAGCGTCATCTTGTTTTGTTTGTTAATCCATTTAACGTGTAATATATTCGATTGAAACGGCATTGATCTATATCGATTGAGGAAGGGGTAAGGAAGCGGGTGAAGGACGAAGATTGGATCGACAGCTAAAAATAGGCTACAATTGTAGAAGAGCAAAACCGAGGAAAATCTTCGTTCTAGCGAGAGATTTACGCGGCGACAAAATTGAAGGTCATATATAACGGTTTAATATCGAGAGAGCGAAAAAGATTGCTCAATTGTCAGATTTAATCGAAACAATAGAGCAATCAACATGTTTAATTATTGTTACAGAAAGATAAACACTTTTGTTCGATGAAAATTAAAGGCGGATTGATGCAATGTTATTCCTAATGTGTCACGTATAATGCACTGATTTGAAAATAATTTTATAAAAATAAATATTATTATAATAAAAAGAGATTTACCGAATAAAAGTAGCTCACTAATGGTATATATAAACTTCGTTAAATGATTAATTGTGTCTCTCGCAACCATATTTATACAATTTTTTATAAGCCGAATAAAAGAAATGTTTCATGGAAATTAATTCCAGTAATAATAGAAATAATTCACGACTGAGAAAAGTTTCGAAAATTAAAATTATATAATATCGAATCTCTTTGAAATAGCAATTCCTTCGTGTTTTGTCGCCGGTATCCTTAGGAATGTCGTCTCTACGGGAACTCATCTACCGTACGAAAATGGTAATCTAACGCGAAAATTCTCAACCTCATTCCTGAACACGGCAATTTTTCGCTCTCTCAAATGAAAAGCTCTCTTATCGAATTTTATTATTCGCTCCTTCGAACCTCGATCGATTCCACTAGCTGAGCGACTACCTGAGCTGTCGCGGGTTGAGACTCGCTGGATCTATACGTCTCTATCTAGGTCTCGACAAGAGACTGCACGAGCGGTTGCGATTCGCGCAAATATCGGTGGGAACAATGCCCGTTCGCTTTCGCGATTCGGAGAATTTTTTTCATAATTTTCTTTATCCTCCTCGCTTCCGCACACGCGTGACACCTCTCGCGTCTCGTCGCTCGCATTAAGTAGTAGTTTGGCTACTCTCGTTAGCAAAAACCGTATTTCGTATCGGCTACACGTATAAATTGTGCAAAAAATTTAGCATGATTAATCGTATAGGTAGGCCTTTCTTGTCGGAAAAGGCACGCGTACATATACATATATATACCTCGCGTCGCGTATTTACCGTGTGTCTCTCGTAGTGTATGCATATATATATGTATGTATGTATACATAATGCATAAGTCGTGTATACAAATACATGTGTAGATATACCATCGACAAGAAAAATGAGCGGTAAAAGAGTATGGGGGAAAGGGGGGTAAGTAAGGGTTGGGGAAGGAAAGGGACGAGGGAGATTGAAGAGCGAGGGATATACATCTAGTACAATGATACCCATAATAGCGATCGAAATAAATATCCTTTTGCACTTTAAATACATGAGAAAAATCTCTGTTGCTCCTCCTTGTACTTCCACTCTAACGATATTGCTAAACTTCGATTATGCCAAACAATACAACGTTCTTACGCGAATACTTTTTCCATCGAGCTTCATTTCCCTTCTCTCTTTCTTTCTTTTCTTTGTATCGATATGACTGCAACTTTTGTCATCACCCGAGCTGTCGTGAAAGAATCAAGTTAATTATTAAAGTTTAATACTATAAAACATTATTTGATATCATAATCGATACCAAATAAAGTAAGAAAGAAGAGAGAGAGAGAAAGAATAAAAAGACAAAGAGAGTATGGGGGAGAAAGAGAGAGAGAGAGAGAGAATGATAGACTATTACTTTATAAAAGAAATCGAAATAAATATATAAAAATTTCTGTAATACGAAATTAAACTAAAACTGTCTGGACATTTAAACATAATGGATTCTTTTTGAAGATACTCCTGTAAAATTCATCTAAAGTGTTAAGACATCTATACATATATAACGTTCAATGTATACGTATATATAAAAGTCAACGAGTAAGTTATCTTATAAATAATGTTATCAGAGTGTTACATGTTCCGAGCGTACTCGAAAGATCATTCGATTTTCCGCGAAATCTGTTATCTTCATAAAAAGCGTGAAACGCTGACTTGTCTCAAAGTGTCGCGAATCGTAGATCCCAAACTCGAAGAGGTAGTAGTCATTCCAATCCAATGAGATATTTTGTTGATAAGACACATTGCAGGAATCCGCTACGATTCGCGATAAAGTTCGCGCATTTTGCAAATATGTAATCTCGTCTTCTATTCGCTGCGAATTGTAAAACACATCGTCACCATGTGCAAACACCTCCTCCGAGAAACAATGGCATTATCGTCGCAAAGCAAGATACAACCGTGTGGGTTATGGTTTTTTTTCTCAGACATTTTATCAGAATTTATTATTATTTCGTGTAAACGTTTATAATAATTATAATTTACAATTACGATGGGCTGATGATAAATACAAATAGAACAACGTAATTTGGGACCAAGGGAGGGAAGGCAGGAAGGGTAGAGTAGAAGAAGGAAAAGGGAAGAGAAGAATGGATGACTGGAGGAAAACAGTCGAACATGCGTGGATAAATGGATGAGGATGGATGGATGCGGTTTGATGTGTAAAGGACCAGGATTAAGAGCAAAAGTCGTATGAATTCGCGTGATCGAACACGTCGTACTAGTATGAAGAGACACGTCGCCATCGCTTCCCTCGCGATCATCGACGTACGCGTTCGCACATACGAATTACTCTCATGTATGATTCGAGATAATCGAATTAAAAAAAGGAAAAAAAATAAATAAAAAAAATAAATAGGAAGAGACCCGGATTCGGTAAAAATTGCGAGAAGAGGATCGAAGAATTTATGTATCAAGACGCTTATAACGATGTTGGCGACGATGAAGATGATAATGCAGACGATGATGATGATGATGATGATGATGATGATGATGATGATGATGATGATGATGATGATGATAATGATGATGATAATGATGATGATAATGATGATGATGTCTCTTCTGACCGAGTAAAGTCACTGCTAGGATTATTAAAAAAACATAACGTTTATTTTAGAAAATTCATATCCAGAAAATCAATATCCAGAAAATGAAAAGAACACAAGATTAACGTTTGGCTTGTTGATTCGGGGGTGAGCGATTGGGATAGGGATTTATGTTATATTGGGGAAAACAAAGAAGTAGATCCAAGAGAAAAGGGCGAAAAGAGGAATGGAAAGAGAAGGATGTTATATTCAAGGAAGATCCGCGAGATCGATCAACAACGTTATTCTCTGATATACATCGTGACGGTTTTCGCATCCTGCCACTTTTAATCACACATGCACACACGCCCGGTCCCGCCTAAATTAGCCCCCGTTGAATTTTCATTTCAAAACATTTTGGATAAAGATAGAGATAAGAAGATCAAAGGAAGAAGGATACAAATGGGATGATACTCGTCTGCGCTTTTATCGTTCGACTTTTTTCTTATACAACGCTAAGTATCGAGAGACAGGATAAAGCACGAGATACAATGTACAAAAAAATAAATATAAGTGATGTTAGAATGGCACAGATTTTAACCGCGAATCGATTGTAATGGAGTCACAAGCATGGGATTATACTGTTGCGCAATTATATTTAATTTCTTGTCGTCTGTATCTCAATCTTTACTTCATCCTTTGTCTCGATCCTAAAAGACTCGTCTACAAAGAACGCAAGTCGCAAGATATTCTATCGAGATGGAACAGATTTGAGTCCCATGGCGATCAAAACAACAACGATAAATTACAATACTTCAATTACACGCTACATTCTCGCTCTCGTTTGAAGGAAGGAGGCGGGGGGATAGGAGAAGTCGCCGTTTAGATGTCAACATTCACGATTTGTCTCATTCTCCTTCGTTTTTCCTTTCTGTGTTTCTGTTTCTTTCTTCGCAACATATCAAATGACGTTCCTGGCGATTTTTAGACAGTCTTGTTGCGACAGAGACACCGATTATACATCAAGAAATATCAAACGACAATAGGAAAACGTTTACCCGTTCACGTGTAATTAGCGACTAACTTGTTAAAACTGTCTCCCATAGCGATATTACATAAGCGTGATGTACGTGTATGTTTGAATGTGTGTATATATATGATGTCAGCACGTATATACATATACTTAATTATACATATATATACGAGAAGAGCGAAAATACTTAGCTCCTCGTTTCCTGTTTTCTTTTTTTTTTCTCTCTTTCTTCGCGTCGGATGACGAGCGCGATACAGAGAATGTGTTTGAATAGTCTTTGACCTCCCGTTAGAGTCTCTTGCAGTCTTCTCTTATAATGTGAAGAATATATCTTTTAGATCCGTTTAGTACGATAGAAATACATCACGCTTCAGATATGATCTGCGTGATATACACGGTACACGTCGAACGAAGCCTCGCATCTCACTCCATATATATATCTCTAAAATGTAAAGGCAATTAATTTCAATACGTTCGATGATTTTATTCTATACATTGTTTCGCGCCCGGTCTATCTTAGCCAGTCGATAATTTGCATATACAAATAGACTTGCGTAAACAACTTCTTTCGATGTGTACACCTTTACGGAGAGGCTAGGTGCCGCGAGCTTCTTCGGATCTCGATACTCTACGCAATGATATTCTCGAGAAGCACGATTCGTAACACACAGCAATTCTCTCGCGAACCCTTGGAAATGAACATCGCACAAGACGAAAGTAAATATGCGATTATCTATATATTCGTGTGTATATGTGCGTACAATTTGTTCTCTCTCCATTCTTCTCGATCACGATACGAGTTTACTAAGTGATAAATATATTCTGTGGTGTATATATTATAATCTCTCTCGTGTATAATATAATAGAGAGACAAGAGGCAATGAAATAGAAAGTGCGAAAAAGTCGAAAGATTCAGACGCCAGGATCAGGATATATACGACGATCTAACGTGTGTAAATCTCCACGCTCGACGATGACAATAGCAAACTGAGCGGTTCACGTCTTATCCTCCTTCTTCCGCATTTCATTCCACAATCACACGAAATTTAAGAAGCGTATGTGAACGACCGCGACGACGAGCAGAACGACGACGAGCAGAAACGTGCTCTCCTTCTCTTTTTATACGATTGTGATAATAAGAATAATTATTTGTACGCTACTGACGATCTTGATTGATTTATCTCTGCGTTATAGATAAAATTCTAAGTTGCAGATAAAATTGCAACGCGATAAGGAAAATTCAAGAATAGATTTTAAGACTATCGGATTTCAGTAAGAAGGAGATAACCGCCAAGTTTTTTTTCACCAATTGTGACGAAAAGGAAAAGAAAGGAATTTATGCATGAGAAGAGATATATACCAAATTGCATGTGAATTGTGTGGAAAATTGTGATGGTTATGTTGCGGAGAGAGGAGAAAAGAAAAAAGATAAAAAAGATAAAAACAGCGAGAGTGTGAAAATCAAATTACCACTGATGTCGTTTTGGAACTTAATAACTTAATGTATTTGTTTTTTTTTTTACTCTCCTTTCTCCTCCTGCGTTCTTCCCTTCGTATAATAATATTCGTACTTGCTAGACAATGTGAAATTTAATTTAAATGACAACTGGGTATAATGTAGTAGATTCATGCGTGCTTTTCATTTTCTCATTCTCTTCGCTTCTTCTCGTACCTCCGCGTTATTTCTTTTTCCTGTATTTTAGGTTTTCTTTTTCTTTCTAACGTTACACTCTTCTTCTTTTAATGGTAAATAGCGAACAGATTCTGGGAGTAATGATAGTATGTTATCCTCTGCATTCCGTATCTCGTCCCAACGTTGTGATTCATCTTTTAGTACTATATCACTTTTTTGCTACTCGTGAAGCTGAATAATTTAGCGCATACTTTTCTTCTGTAATGTGCGTTACCGATGATCACCAGAGGGATATACGCTTCGACGAGACAGGGTATGCGGGAAAGGGGGAGATGTATGTGTGAGTGTGTGTTTCCTCCTGTCCTTTCCTCTGTTCATCCACAATTCCTGTTCCTTCATTCAAATGGATCAAACAAGGATTACATTTTGTTTGAAAAACTTCGTACCAGAGAAAAACTAAATGATCCATAAGGCTCAATTATTCCTCCTCGCCGATGATTGTTTCTCTTCGCACGTTTTTACTCCATACACATTTCATAATCAACAATTTTTATTCACTCCGAATATCGACAAAGCTTCAATTCCATGTCTAGGTTCAACTTTTAGAAGTATCTTTCCCTTAGCATCATCCGCGAGAGGAGAACACAATCAAGCTTAAATAGATTATTCGAGTGTTCTCTCTATGTTCAAGTTTTTCGAACCGGGCGTAGCAGCTGTGGCGGTGGCATCGGCAGCAGTGTGCGGTCGTAGGACAAAGAGAGAGAAAGAAAGAGAAAAGGAGAGAAATGAAAAGGGACCAATTTCTTTTTCAAAGAGAGATTTAAGAAAAAGGAAGGCCTGCGGTTAAAAAGAAGGAAGGAAAAGAAGGAAACGAGGTACGCGCGAGGGACGAGAGGAGATGGTGGACATGGGTGGATGGATCCGGGTGGATGGACATATGGGTGAGCACTTCAGGGGGACGGGGGGACGATAGAGAATAGGATGTTCTTATTAGGTTTAGAAAGGACTTAAGCTTAGGAAGGTTAGTTGTCGCCGCCCTCCTGTGGCTCGTCCCCATCGCCCTGCGTATCACTGGTCCACAGAGTGAGGTTGTCACGCAGCAACTGCATGATCAGCGTGGAATCTTTGTAGCTGTCCTCGTTAAGTGTGTCCAGCTCCGCGATCGCGTCGTCGAACGCCTGCAAAGGTAAAATAAACACGTGTCGGATATTTTTCATTCAAATTCTTTATATTATTCTTACACAACTTTATTTTTTAATATTAATTATTCTACTTTTAAATCCAATCTATTCACTCAGAAATTATATCATTTAAATATATATTGAAACAGAGAATAATACTAATGGATTATTTAGGAATTTACCTATCTTAATTAATAATAATAATAATAATAATAATAATAATAATAATAATAATAATAATAATAATAATAATAATAATAATAATAAAGGTAAATTCCCAAATAATCCATTAATATTATAATTATAAAAATTGTATCAAATGTACACAAGTATTCTATGTATCTTTATCAAAGTAAAATTGTTATTTTTAGCAAATGTTACAATACAAGTAGAGAGTATGAAGATGGTTAGTGCGGCATCAGTGGAGACATCAGTTTATATCAATATGTATTAGTAAAGAATTTAGAAAAAAGCAGATTAAGAAAAAATCAAAGATTAAATGGCACATCAGTCATACAAAAATTAATTAACACTCCAAGAAATAAGTTAAATGGGCCATTAAAGGATAAATTCAATGTCACGTCAAGGATTAGAATACACGAGAAAATGATAAATTTTAATTAATAAGGCTGCTGATCTTTGATTTATTTGTTATTTTATTACTTAATAAATATTTGTAAAAAATATAATATATAATAAATATTTATTAAATTTGTAAATATACATAAAAAATATAAATATTTATTTTTTCATTCGATATAACAGAAAAATACAATTTATTGTATTTTCTTTTCTTTTTATTAAACCGAATAAAAACCTAAATTAAACGAATAGAATTTATTTTTAGTAGAAGTGTTTTAATCAGAATGCATAGCCCTAATTCTTTTCTTTATCAGCAGTCTTATCGCGTACGCAGTTCAACGACGAGCGCGTTAATATACACAAGAACGAACTTATTAGAAAAAAATTTTCCGCATTGAAGCGTCAAACGCAAATTTTTCACAATCCTCCCTCTAACCTGCTTGGCTAGGTGACAGGCTCTAGCCGGGGAATTTATAATTTCGTAATAAAAAACGGAGAAGTTGAGGGCAAGGCCGAGCCTGATCGGGTGCGTAGGCTGCATTTTCGCCTTCGCAATGTCAAACGCCTCTTGGTACGCCTTCTGCGAATCCTCGACTACCGCTGCAAAATGCAAATCAGCCTCTATTCAGATTACACCTTCCACGACCTCATTTCTACGCCATGACCATCGTAGTAATAAATCGTCGAGGAAAGGAACGAAGGAGGGAGGGCGTAGAAGGAAAAAACGTATGAAAACTAAATAAAAGGAGAGAAAAATGCGAGCGAGTTTCAACGATTCTCCTCGTGTCTGTCCTACAAAGACCGCTTTGCTCCGAGTTCGGCCTTGAACGAATCGTATTCATAAGTCAATTTTCCATTAATCTGTCACGATGTGACCGAACCGATCTGACGTACACTTTTGTTTTGAATCATTGCGTGAGTTCATCAATAATGTGAATATTAAAAATTTGAATAAAAGTGATTATTTTTCACGATTATCGATTTGTATGTGTTACCGAATACCAGATGCTGCGCATGATAGTTATTAAAATAATCTCATATAATTATGGCGAGTGTTTTTCTTTCGTATCCTTAAAAACAATTTCCTAATTAAAAATAATAATATATCTCACAATTATGCTGTCATTAGTAAAGATATTTTTTAAATATGCACGTGTGCACATAATTTTAAAAAAATATAAAAATACTACGAAGAATTCTATAATTTTGGCAATATTATCATATTTATGTTATTATACGTTTCAAAAAAATTACTGAGAAATTATTTCCAAATCTATTTATGTATATCTATGTGTATATCAGGTTTTATCTCTAACAAAATATTTTTCAAATAGATTTCAGCTTTAACACTACTATCTATGTACAGTGATTTCAACATATTTCAAGATTGTTACTATGATATAGCTTGATAAGACGTTTTGAATTAATCAAATAGAAAAAAAATATTGATCTTTATAGAACAGAGAGAAATAAATAAATAGGTAGGTAGGTAGGTAGGTAGGTAGGTAAGTAGGTAGGTAGGTAGGTAGATCTGCAAATCAACAAAGCGTAATTTTTGTCACCACTGTGCACCATCACCACCATCACCATCGAGTTTCTCTCTCCCATAGAATTGCTGGAAAAAATTGCTAGAAAGAAAGCGATTAGTTCACTGGACGTGTACCTGTTTGGCCAGCTGACAGGCCTTGTCTGGGGAGTTGAGGATCTCGTAATAGAAGACCGAGAAGTTGAGGGCGAGACCTAGCCTGATCGGATGGGTAGGCTGCATCTTTGACTTGCTGATTTCGAACGCATCTTGGTATGCCTTCTGGCTGTCGTCTACCACGGCTGGATATTACGTGGATTATAAGCATGTCTCTCTTATTTGCGTGACTAGCACGCTTCGAGTAGTAGTACTTGGTATATCAAATCGATTTAAGAGCTGCTTAGAACTTGAGAGATGCATATAATATCATGGGTTTATCGCATCTCAAAGTATAATATAATAAAAAAAATTTTTATATATTTATAGCTTCTAAGTAACTCCAATTAATTAGCATTAGAAAATCTTAATTGCTTTTTCTTAGTAGAAATTATTGGTTGATTTCTCGAATCATTTATCGATTTGCCTTATTTATGTGTTCTATGCAACTCAATAACTCTTACGTACTTCTACTTCTAGATAATTTAGATATTTTCTCGAAGTAGAGTAAATCAATATTGTGATATCTGCGATTACAATATTTAATAATAACACATTAACTACAATATTTAATAATAACACAATAAAACTATGTAAAATTATAAACTTTTCTGAAAAATTACTTGATTAAGATAATAATATACACTTAAGAGCTCTTTTAATCCAATAAATATCACACTTGCATTCGCTTCAAATTTTATTGTTTGCTTTTATCGAAACTTGAAAATCAGTAAATATCAATATTTCTCTATGAACTTTATAAACTCCCCCCCCCCCCCCCCCGCTTCATATAATGGTCGTAAAAACATAACTTCGTGTCAATCCTTTAAATAAAATGCGAAAAAAATGATAAAAATTAATCTAAGAAAAGCAATTTTCAAATTCATCACTAATATTTACAATTATAGATTTGTATAAAATTGAAAATATAAACAAAAATTTTAAAAATACAGAAGCTTCCAGAAACAAACTATTTTTCAATAAAATTATTCTTTTACAATCTATATTTTACAAATTCTTGAAATTAAAATTCGTGTAAAGTTTTATCCGGGAATAATTTTCACTATATAAGTGACTATAAATAACCGAAGCATCTGTTGACGTAATTGGTATCACACGCAAGAGTACTATAAATGTTCATTCGAGAGAAATACACTCAAAAATTTACATACTATGTAGTCGAACACAATTGAGAATAAGATCAAAGTGAGAAGCCGTTTGTGAGATTTTGGCCAATTTTGCGAATATACTGCACGTTGTGTGATTTAATTTTAAACATCTGTCTGTCACTTGACAGTCACATCGATATCGATTGCGAAAAATCACTACGTAAGACGATCTCGTATTTCGAGAGCTCGCTTCTCACTTTGATCCGTTTCACGAGAAGGATCTCATGGATAAGCTTATGTGTAATAAAAGATCGATACGTACTATTTCTGGTCTCACCAGTGGCGACTTCTGCGAGATACCTGTAGTAGTCACCCTTCATCTTGAGGTAGAATACTTTGCTCTCGGCATTGCTAGCCTTGGGGATCAGGTACTTATCCAAGAGTCCCTGCAAAGATACAAATAGATAAATAAATAAATGCTAACATGATAATTGTTGAGAAAAATATTCTTCATACACGAGATATGTAAAATAAAAATGTCAAAAATAATAAAATAAATTCTGCTGTATTCTAAGTTAATTTCTAGATTTTATATTTGACTAATTAATAAAATACAAATTTAAAATATAAATGAGAATATAATATAAAAAATGATGTAATGGAATAAATAATGTTGATGAAGAAAAAGATTTAATTGTAGAATTATGTTGGGAAAACTTCGTTGATCCAGCTTGCTTCATTAATCAAGTAACTCTCTTATTTAGACAAATCACCCTAGTGTGATTAGATTGTATTTCGTAATTGAATTGATTTATTCCTGCGATGTCGCGTAATTCACCGATTCGTTCTAATAGAGTAATCAGATTGAGGTTTGGAGAATTAAAATGAAAGAATACGTATAAAATTATTTTAAAAAATACAAAATGTAATAAAATATTTTTAAGAATAAATCAGACAATTGTTATTTTAAATAAATCGGTTATTAATTATTGTTAGATAATATCTCTAATAATATACGAATTAATGCAGATAAAATGCAGAAAATTGAATGCGCAACACACTGTGCCGGTCAATGACGAGTCACTTGACGCTACGCACATTCATACATCCTGGCCACTTCTAGTGACGTAAGAACAGCGTTGGCCGACTAACTTTACATGCGCGAAACTCGCAAATAGCGAAGATATTTATTGCGCCTTAACATAATGCATTGACGCCAGAGATGATGAAAGGTGATCAGTCAACATTTGTCAGAATTAAATGTCTAGCGATATTGATAATATAAAACAAAAAAAAAAAGAATTAAGATAATTTTTTTACGAAAATTGATTCTTTTTAGAGATAATTAAAAAAAAATTATTTTTACTATTATTGTGTACTTTACAAAATAAATATCATGTGTATTTTATTAGAATCTTAATTTAATAATTTCAATATCGAACCTTATATATTATATGGGTCTACACAAATCGTTGTATCGATGCATAAACGTGTCGTCGTAAATTATTACATTGCGCATAATCGTGTGATTACGCGGCGCGTCGCAATAAAAAGAGGAAACAAAAAAGGCAAACCATGTTCGTACGTCGTCTGGTTGGCTCTCTCGCACATCGAGTTCACGAGCGAGAAAAGACCGGTTTTGTAACTTACAATCTTGGTAGTTGTTAATTTTTAATCTGTCACGACAACTTTATCCCTTTAGAGAGAAATAAAATCGCGGCTGCAAATTATCGAAATGCGTTTCCCCACAAGCTCGATATAGAACTATATTAATCTGTAATTAAACTTTGCGAGAAACACTATTAATTTCGAGATGTTCCAATTTTATTATTATAAATTAATCTTTTTCAATTCCTTGCGCCTGCAAGCTGCATTCGATTGTAATATTTCTGCTGCGCTCAATTCTAATTATTCTTGTTTCTTTTCCTACTTATTACAACTTCCTGCAATCTATTTTTAAAATTATCGTTTCGCAAAGTCACGATAGTCCGTTTGAGACAAAAAGACGGTCGACTTTTTCACGTTCTCCCATCTTCGCGCCTATTGAGCTAAAGATATCTTTGGTTTTATTAAACCATAGAGCGATCTATGAAACCTGACTGCGTCAAGAGAGATGCAGTACAATGTGCCACCGCTTATGGTCTATGACGTGCATAGGAGAGCGCGAGAACAGGAACGATCGTCCGACGATTGAGTTTTATAGCTAGATCTTGTGCTCCAATTTCACCGTTTGACGTGCATCTCGCGAACCAAATCTGACTAATCCTCTCCTTCCTTCTCTCTTTAAATATTTTCGTTGCAATTAACACTTATCTTTGAGTAAATCCTCGTACATAAGATTTTCTATATCAAATAAAAATATGTGTCTCTTGATTTATAATTGAAGCAATAATTGCGGTAATATGAAATATATTATTTATTTTACGGAGAGGAATATTCGTATTATTTATTGAATAAACAAATGTGCGAAGATTTTTAATATTTACAGATATCTAGAGATTTATCATCGACGAAAATTAAAAGAGAAATTATTTACGTTATCATACATTATCAAACATCGAAAAAACGGTGCATATTTTTTTCTTTTAAAACATGATACGACCTCGAGCGAATTTAATTTTCCCCTTAAGAAAGAGCCGATTCCATTTACAAAGCGGAACGTGCCATTTCCGGCAGTTTGAGGTACGTCCGTTTGAATAGGCGTGTCCCGCTTCCTCTTCCTTTTCCGTTTATTTCCGGATACTGGAAAATATAGTTCACGTAATGATAACGGAGATTGGACAAGATTCCGAGGATCGCGAAAAAGCATCTGGTGGCTTATAATTCACCGGAGTTTAATGAGTTTTCCGACTGACATAAAGCTCGAAAGGTCACGCTTTAATATCCCATCGTAGATGTTACGCAACAACAAGAGCCTCAAAGTTTAAAACTTGAAAGAGATTAAAGAAATTAAATAACAATGCATAAGTATTAGTAAGAGAAAATAAAAAAAGTTATATATAATTAAATTGTTGAGATAAATAATCGAAAGAATTGAAATAGCAAGGCTGCTATTTTATAAGAAACAAAAGATGCGAGATTCATTAAATGTTTTTGTATAAATAATACGATTCAAGGCTAAAGGAGAAACACATAAATAATAAAATTACCTTAGTGTTAGAACCAACATTTACCAGGACAATACGCGGATTATTCTCAAGGAGAAAAAAATAAGAGAGCTGGATGCTCTTTCGAAGGAGAATCGTGAATAGGAGCCGTAATTGATCCGTTTGAAATTCAATCCGGAGGATGATCTTCAACCTCTAGAGTAAGGAAGCGAGCGCGAGAGGTGATGGAAAATTGTCAACTACGTAAGATGATCCTTCTCAGGTACGGAAGAGAAGCGAGTATATTGCTTGCAAACGGGTTTCGACGCTCGAGGCAAAATCCGCAGTACACAATTCACTCTATCCTTTTCCATGTTGACATTCTATTATACAAAATGCCCGTCCGCTCCGAATAGATTTCTTCCAAATACTCTTATCATGAAAATTTTGATTTAGTGTTTAGCAAAAGATTGAAACAAAATCTTTTCGCAACTTATTTTAGCAGAATTTAGATGAAGAGAATTTTTTAATTAATATTAATATTGAAAATTAAAAATCGATCGAATTTATTAGGACATTAGAAAAATTTTAAATTGCGCTTCTTAGCGAATAAAAAATATCATGACAGTTATAATCTACAATATACATAAATGAGAACTCAAGAGAAACACATCTCCTAATTATTTTCTACAACTTGGATTGTTTTGCACGATAATTTATCGTTTAAACAATATAATTAAAACTTCGAATAAAGAACTCAACGTCAACACAGTCCGCGCAAATATTCCTGACGGAGTAAGCATGCTAATGACTTCGTAGATACATAAAGACGATATTTTCGTAATTGCATTTCCATTTCGTTATCGCGTTGACGATGTAGTAATGAATCGCTAACAAATACTCGCACAGTTAGACAGACGCCTCGTTTGAAATTAACGTCTCCGATTCTTTCAAACTGAGAAGAAATTTCTCGTTAGAAAGCGGATACTTTCTGACAATTAGACGACAGATCGATATGAGAAAGCGAATCCTCGTTATCGGTGGCAGCTTTCTTTCATCAAACTGCCAATCCTCTTTTTCTTTTTCCCATTTTATCTTGTTCGAGATAAAATGGAAAATTCGAATATCAGAAATATTATAATAACTTTCTCTTTGCTATATATATATAATATGTGTAATGTTTTTATTTAAAAAAAAAGTATAAATCTATAAAAACTCGCACATATTTTTCATTTTTAATTTCCATAATAAAATATTATTGAATAAAATAAGTTGCAGAAGAGGAGGCTTCAATAGTGTAATATTAATAATAATATTAATATAATTGAATAAATATGACAAGTGTGTTTTAGGCGCATGGAAAAACGTTTCAGAATAGTGATTAACTCACTGTGAGAATGAAATCATCATTCTACGATTATATGAAATTGATTATTTACCGTCTGTCGCAACTCTGCCCCTACCTCTTGGACGTCGATTACTCACGGCATATAACTCTCTTCGGACACCTTTTCGGAGTTCGTAACTATGTATGGAAGAGAACAGGAAACATCGTGACGGTTGCAATGTCGCGGAAAAAGAAACGGAATGCACCGGGGCTATTCAGAAATTACGAGGCGAAAAAAAGACAGTATCGGATTCATTAATGCGGAAATTTGAGGAAAACGCCCCTCTTTCTCTCGTTTCCAATTTGATCAGTATTAAAAATTAAAAATTTTGAGATATAATTGAATTCGAAATTACTAAAAATAAAAATAAAAAATTGATCAAGTAGTTGTGTGATTAATATATCACGCAAAATTTTTGGAAAGTATAATTTTGAATTGTCTACGTGACAACATTACGATATAAAAAAGTATTTTTAATAATACTATAATGACGATAAATATTAAATATTTTGGCGATATATGTGTAGAAAATATTAACCTAATATATTTGTTTTAAATGAAAATAATAATTAACTACAAAAATAACAATTTGATAAAATAGTACGTGACACTTTGATCAATAATTTAATATATATGACTAATTATTTAAAATTTCCAACATGATAAAAAAATCATTAACTTAAGCAATGTCTTGTAATATTTTTATTCACAATAGAAATATTAATCGTATCTTTAATTTTATTTAAATCCGCCATTATAGTAAATATGTCCATTTAAACTCAACATCTTGCTAAATATTAAGTCGTCAAATTTCTAATTATATAGATTTTGATATAATATTAATAAAATTAAATTAATGAAAATTTATTTAATAAAATCTAATTAATAAAATAAACTAGATGGTCTTTAAATAACACAATTTATTTTTAATTTAAATTAAAAATACGAAATCTAAAGCTATATTGAATATGTTACACTTCTTATGATTCAAATTTCTGGCAAGTAAATGTCAAAGATATGGCACCATTATGTTGTAATTTCCGCGATTTTGTAGACTTTGGGAATTGATTTATTGCCATAACGCAAGAATGTGCGATAAAACAGATATATATATTGCTACAACATAAAGTCCGCGCTGCGTCCGGTGTGAAAATTCATGATAGTGCCAACTATTTGAAACACGATATCGCAAATCCGAGTGTGAGAAACATCACGTGTGCGCGAGACGGAAAATTAATTTCAACGTACCAGCAGAAATCCCATTCTTTCGGATGTAAATTCACATCCCGGATGACGAACAAATAATGCCGAGTTCACCAGCCCACGTTTATCGCGAATTTATCATTGATATATTGATGGATCATTTACATTGTAAAGATCTCGTAGGATATTGAAATCATGCAGATAGCGCGAAATTAATATGCATACGCAAATACATAATTAAGATATATAGCGGTAAGAATGTCAAATAAATAAAACAGAGAGAGGAAACGAGAGACAAAATATAAATAAACTAAATTACAGATATAAATTTGCTCAAAAAAACGTTAATGTCGAAAATTATTAAATATTTTTTAATCTTTTTGGACATTTTTTTATATTTTAATCCAAATTTTTTTCCATTATTTTATACAATAAAATAATATTATTTAAAATAATATTATTTTATACAATAAAATAATATTTGTTTTATACAATAAAGTAATATTATATGAAATGATAAAATAATACTATATAAAATATAATTATATAAATTATATAAAAAATTTGTATAAAATAAATAAAAAAACCTAGGAAATTGACAAATATTGCATATGTGACGAATTATATTAACGGATCGTTTTATCAAATCATGTCAAGCTATGCAGCAGCTCAAAGGAAAAGGTTTAACCCAAACAGTTCCGCCGGAGCTCTTCATCAAGACCCACAGAGCCCACTCAATTAATCTTATTACGGCTTGATTGCGTGTGCGACGACTCGTGTCAATATATTACCCAAAAATAACTCTTGACAATTCTTTATCACTTCGTATACTGATAAAACAACGGAAATCAGTATTATGTCTCAATGTACAATGATGCAATCTCGAAGTATGCATTAAAAAAGAATCATTTATAAAAAAAAAAAGCACAAAATTGTCGAAAACGCCACTTTATTTTAGCATATAAATAATGAAACAAATTTTTATTTTACATGCTCCAAAAATAAATTGCTGAATTATCGGGGAATTACTTTACAAGATGAGGCGAGGACCGTTAAAAGCCTGTCTTCCATCATCTAGGTCGCGCCAAGACATTTGTTCAAACACGTTTATTCCTCGACAAATACACAACTCACGTTTTTTTCCTCTTTTTTCCTACTTTCTGAGCTAACGCGAAGCTTTTTTCTCCTATATTTCAATGCCGCCTCATCTTTTATCGTTCATGTCGCCAGCTTTTCTCGTCCAGAGCGACTACGATCAATAGCGGCAAGGCGACACAATGAGCCTGACCGCCGAGCAAACACATGCGCGAATTACGTATACGAGCAGTTTACGATAAAAAACGAGAACGTCGATCGGAGTAAAGACAAAAATAAAAATTGTTTCTAGCCATCGCTGGTTTTTTTATACGTGCACTCTACGCATCCGTATCTTATAAAAAGATAAATATTCGCCAGAAATACAAATATTTAATCCGACATTTTACAAGATTTTCACTAAAATTAACCGATATGATAATTAACCAAATTCCTCGTCAATTCGAAAAATAAATATTACTGTCACGGTATCCTTCAAATTAACGCGTTACTCGAAATAAGCTTTTTCAATTTACTCTTAGGCGAACACAGCAAATTCTCTTTGCCGACAGAAAGGGGCGATCGATACCTGCAAAATATATTTCGGAATAGATGAAAAAAAGGTGATATCACTTACCAATACGTCGTAGCAGATCTCGCGCAATTCCTTTTCGACCTTTTCCCGGTATTCCTTGGCCATCTGCTGTTTACGCTCGGAGCCCTCGGTCTTCTGCTCGATGGAGGAGATTACCCGCCACGAGCTGCGTCTCGCTCCTACGACATTCTTGTATGCCACCGAGAGCAAGTTCCTTTCCTCATTCGACAACTCGACTCCCGTCTCGGTGACCGCCTTCATCGCGGACGCCATATCGTCGTACCTTTCCGCCTGCTCAGCGAGTTTCGCGCGTTGCACCAATTCCTCCTTATCCACAGACATTGTGTCGGCTAAAATCAGAAAAATGTCTCAATAAACTGATAATTAAGAATTTTAATAATCACTCGGTCATAATTAGAGACACGTTTTTCAATCAAAACACTGTCGTACATATATTTTATTCTTTGACATTCGCGCTTAATAATACGTGTAAGTATATTTATAAAACATAAAATATGAGAATTTATTTTGAATTATAATTAGCAAATTTTGATTTCTGCAAAAATTCTCATGTTTTTCCCAACAAATAATAAAGACTTTTTTGCGTCGATATTGTTAGAAATCACAGAGAAACTGTCGATCAAAGGCACCTCGAGATACACGAGGGATACAATACGTATCAATACAAAGACCGATCGGCTTAGCACGCTGCAATATGGTTCTTTGGACACTGTATTCGTAAAGATTGCAAAGAATAGAAGCTCCTACACATGCATACACACGCAATTTATTTGTTAGAAGCGGACACAACTATATTTCGTCCATTGAAATACAGCTCGATGAACCATAGAGATATGCCTTCTTTCTGGAAAAGATCAATTTTTCCTTCCTCAGAATCATATGCAGTAAAGAAAAATAATCTTTCATTTACCAAAATGTTTCGACCAGCATCTGGTATCTTTTTTCTCGTTCTCTAAATACTAGAGAAAATTTTAAGAAGCTTTCTGTTTTTCTCTTACAAGTTTAGCTTAAATACGTTTCTAAAAAAATTTTCGGTTAAAAAATTACATATATTATTTACAATATTTTTTTAGAAAGTGGCGAGCAGATGGAGAAATAAGCATACGCTTTCCCAATCTCCCGATACCTGTTTTTCTTCAAAGAGCAGGTGTTTTGTATCTTGTAATATTGGTTTTTATATAAGTATTATGTGTATGTATTCTCCAATTTAAATATTTTCGAGTAACTTTTAATGTAAAAAATAGTTAACATATTTTTAATGTTCTATGTAAAGTAGACTTTAAAAAGGTGATTTCAATTATCAAAAAAAATATGAAACAAACGTTGGAAGTTAGATAAGAAAATAGCTTTTTTGACAACAAATTAATTAATAAATAATATATTTATTTTGCTGAAAGTAATTTAATTTATATGTCTACAGAAAAATTGAAAAATACAAAAAGCATTATAATCTACTATGCATATGTTTATTATGTAAATTTTTTGCTCTCTTTTCTTAGCAATTAATAAATTTGTCAAACCAAGATAAAGAGATATATTTATAAGATGTATTTATGAGATGTATTTATAAGAAGAAAGAATGTAAAATAATAACGAAAATTTTAATGTATTGATTTGAACTGTTGCTCCTACATTTTTATTGTGTGCGTATGTGTCTGAACGAACAAAATATAGCTTTAAATATATAACAATCTATATTTTTAATAAGGACATTTACTTTCTAAAGATATTTTGTATCAATCTCGTTTCAAATACAAGATAAATACTTGTGATATGTAACGCATTTACAGCCTATTGTCAATTTTATCCGATAAAATAATGTTCAGGCAGAATTTTCTTTGATAATTTAAAAAAGGCCAATTTCGAATTTTCATGATAGAAAAATAATTGAGAAGGTCTGAGTTACAATTTCTCTTCTCTCAAAAAAAAATTGTAATTAATCAATTTTCTAGTTTTTCTCAAGTGTAGCATTAATATACAATTTTATAAATAGATAATTATGATTATGTATAATTATCATTGTTCTGCATTCTTAATGCTATAAAAAAACGCGTGTAATTATAATCATGTAATTATAGTTAATAGCTAAAATATCTATTGTAATGTAATTAATGTAAAAAAGATGGAAATTACATACATGTATCTCGAGCATAACTACTAATCCAAGTGCTTCCCTCGGTCTGATGAGAATTTAATCGCCGGAAAATCAATGATTGATATGTACGTGACACGATAAAAGCTAGGCTATCAAAGTAACAAGAGGATTAGATTGTACACTTTCGCGTTTATCGCATTTCCGTGGAAAGCGTACAAAGCTGTCCGTTTCTCGAAAATGATGCACTATGAAATGCAGGACCTCGATGTCCTTTGAATATTATCGATCGAATACTATTATCCAAACACGTTACGTGATGTGAAGCTTTAGATATCAATACCATTTAATATTTGATTAACGAGAATCCCACAGAGAATAATGTTCCACAAATTACCGATGACAATCGGATAAACAGGATTATTTGCTTTTATGGTGCTTAATAAAATTATATTAATAATTACATGTACAACAACAAATTTTCTCTGAATTATTAAAATTTTATTCCGATTATTTTAAAAGCAAAAATAAATAAGATTTTTATTTGCACTTTGTCCATCTTTTTTAAATTAAGATTGTAATTTTTACTTTATTATAAAATTTTCCGGAATAATATATTATTTTCATTCAGAAGCATTTCAGAAGTTACATTTTTTACACATTAATCACTTTTCTCTAATTTTATCAGAAATGTCGATCCAGATTTACAGTTTATCTCATACCATTCCGTCTCTTATCTTTAACCTATCATTTTAATCGGTCACCGGGTGTTTGACGTATCGTTAACCACGTACGATTACGCAATTTACACAATCATGAATGTTAACCTTAGTTATTTAATATTAGCTAAGTTACTGTTTATTATTTATCGTTCTTTTAGTAAAATTTAAGAACGCGTAATAAATTTCACGTAATTGAATAGTTTTATTAACTGTTAAATAAACAAATTTCATATTACTCTATGCGATTATCTAAGATCTTAAATCATCCTGAGTAATAGGTTATTTGTAGCAGGTTCGATGCGCATTATTTCTTCTCCCTTTGTTCCTTTTTTGCTCGCATCTGCCATTCGGACGCAATAAATCACTTTAACGACTTGGCGACTCGGTCAGAGGGTCAATATCTAGTCGGTGAATCGCACGCACGTGTGAATCCATGAGCCGATAAGAGAATCGGTCATGTATGATAAACCGAACAAGCGAGCGGATGATTATGTTGTCATTGTGTCACACATAGGATGTACAATACTAAGGACACATCATTACCGAGAAATTGAAAAACGCAAATTATTTCCACAGGAGTTGCCACATGCGATCAGTATTATACTATAATAATAAAAAATATCATTTTTTAAATGTATTCTTTCTACAGATGCATCATTTATGAGACAGGAAGATTTCTAGAAGCAAAAAATATAGCATAGAAATATATACAAATATAACTTATCTAGTCTAAAAAAGTCTTTCAAAGATTGTCAAAATTTTGGAGACAAAAATAAAATTTTACAAAAAAAAATTAGTATTTAATTTTTAATTAAATTTTTGAATTTTTAAATTCTCTAATCTTTTAGAAATTTTTTCAAGTTAAAAAAAACAGTAAGTTCCATAAAATAAAAATCTAGATCTCATGTTTTAAAATATTTCAGTCTTTACATTTTCTCAATGCAACGTTTAACTAAATGCAACGAAATGTCGTAACGCGTTCGTTGTACCGATCGGAATGTTACATCGTCGTCGTAGTACGCGAGAGAGGAAACGACGATGATTCATACCGTAGAATTGAAAGAACGAATTACACTTGTGACTGGAAAGTCAGACTAGACGCATTCACGAAGGATATTAAGCGTAAACCGCATATAACATGTTATTCATAAATCATAAATCATGCAAGAAAAATCGAAAGATATCATTTTCGCAACAACGACGATCTTGTTATATAAATTGTTACGCAATTTTTTTGCATTACGATTTACGTAAATCTATCGAAATTCTGTATAAATTCTCGTAAATGCATGATAAATATTTGTGCTTTACATTGACATTTATAAAGATAAATACAAAAGAATCTTACATAAATTTACCACGCCTTTAAACATGCACGAATGCATTCTTGATAAAGATAAGAATAGAAATGATTTCCCTCGTGACACAGAAATGACTTCTTTCGAAAAGTTAAAACTTTTCAGTTTCTTTCAGAATTAATCTTCAAGCGAAGGCAAAGCGACATTATACGAACAATGAGATCGAAACACGCTCGTAACGCATCGAAAGATTTCCTAAGGGAGATGTTTGGCAGGGATGCGCTAGAAAGGATAATTAAATAGACAGTGTAGCGCACGAAAGAAAATTTTTTTGTAAAAATAACTTGTAAAGAAAATACGTTATACGTTGCGCTGAAAAAGTTTCTCGATGATGCACACCCAATTTCTTGCACAAAGTATGCATTCCTTCAAACCTGTTTTTAACAACTATTTATATAATAATTTATATACACACACACACACACACACATATATATATATATATATATATATATAATTGAAATATACGTTATTACTTTAAATATAAATAAAATCTTGATATTCATATTTTTATTTTAAAATTTTAAAATGAGCAATACTTTCATATTTTTTACTTGTGATTAATCACATTTAGATTGAATAATTTATTAAATATTTTTTGCAAGTTTAAATTCTACGAATTGTAATAATAGTATCTATCGTTAAAAGAAAGTGCCACGAGTGACAAGAAACACCCTATATATATATACGCGCGGATTGAGTACAGAATGAGTGGGTATCACATGGTCTGCGATGACTCATTGCTTTAATGCCGGTCGATGCCGTTGAAAAACTCACAAAAGAGAGGCAGAGTTCTAAGGGCCACTTAACCTTCTGAGGGAATAATATAGACAAATTCTTCCCTCTCTCATTCGAAAACATCCTTATAAATATCGAAAGATTTGAAAACTTTGTATCATTAATGGTTCTTTCTCGATATCACTTCTTTTTTTCTCATTTCTTTTTGACATTTATATTTATTTTCCTTAATTTCTTTTTTTCTCCTTAATTTATCTCTCCTAATTTTCTTCTCTCAAAGATGTATCACTAAATTATCAAGTTTACGAAACACACTTGTATCATTGTATAATTTCAAAATTATATATATTTAAAATTATTTTTTATATATTTCAAATTATATATATTTCTTACATTATTTCTCTCTCTCACATGTTCTT